TTTATTTATCTTCTAATAACTTTTATGATTATAGGTTCAAGATCATTGAAAGTGCCAGTACATAAGTTGGTTAGAACAGATTCATTAGATCCTGCAGGAAGATTACATGCCTACACACAAATTATGTCCGATAGAAGTAGTTTGAATGCAGTAAGGTGGTTCCCAAACGCTTTGTTTTCGTTTTTGTGTCTAACCAAGCTAAGACTCATATTATGTTTTGTAGTGAAACATAATTGTTGGTTTGCAGTGATTTGCCAACAACTAAAATTGCTTCTGTAGGCTATTTATTACAATTAAACTTTTGGTCATTGGCCATTATGTTTGCTAGACATTATAAATGTCTTCCTTTTCATTGATCTAGAAATAAATATATACAGAGCAACCACTTAGTTTTGTTAATTAAGGAGAGGTTAGGCTTGGTTTCTTAGTTAAAGCTATCCTCTTTTATTGGTTGAAACATTCTCCAAGACCTTGGAAAAGTAATTAACTTTTGTTGTTTAGGATTTGTTATGATATATTGATAGAACCCCAGCAATTACAGTCAGTAATTATAATTATTCCTAACTTCCTTTCCTCCAAACAATCCAAGAAAAAAACTCCCCTCAACAACATAAACAGAGACTATATATAATAGTTTGTTAAACACGTTACAATAGGAGGAGGTTATAACTGCCTCCTTATTTATTTCTGCTATTATAAACCCTGTCGCTGAACCTATCAATACCCTGCCCAAGCAGTTTCACCTTGTCCTCAAGGTGAAAATCAGGAAATTCTTTGTTGATAACAACAGTAGACTCCCAACTATTTTCAACTTCCGGAAGTTGTTTCCATTTAAGCAGCACTTCCAATTCCCCTGTAGAATTTAAGCGTGTATCAAACAATTTCTTGGGAGTAACTTCCAACATATATTGTTCAGACAATATTGGTAGCAAGGGTTGAGAGGAGTGCACAACCGTCACTGCTGGTTTAAGCAATGACACATGGAAGACTGGACAAATGCGGATGGGTTCTGGTAAGAGCAACTTATAAGCAACTTGACCCATACGTTCCACAATCTAATAAGGACCATAATGGCGAGGACTTAATTTTTCATTTAGTTTTTGTGCCAAAGACTTGAACATATATGGTTGGATCTTTAGAAGAACCCAATCTCCCTCCTGATAAACTATATCCCTCCTATGCTTGTTGGCTTGAAGCTTATCATGTTCTTGCGCTTTGCACAAATTATCCTTCAATGTTTTTAAAGTCACATCCCTTTCTTCTTGCATCTGGTTTACATTTTCCACCTTGGATGGAATGGTTGTGCCATTCAAAATTAGAGGGGGATCACATCCATATAAGTCCTTGAATGGTGTCATCTGCGAAGAGGCACTGTAATTGGTGTTGAACCAAAATTCAACTCAAGGAAGCCACATGGGCCAATGTTTAGGTTGAGTACCTGTCATACATCTTAAGTACGTTTCAAGACAACGATTCACAACTTCAGTCTAGCTGTCTGATTGTGGGTGATAGGCAGTGCTACACTTCAATTTAGTCCCAACTTGTTTAAAAATTTCCTTCCAAAACTGGATGAGAAATAATTAGTCTCGATCTAAAACTATAGAGGAAGAAAACCCATGTAATTTAACCACCTCCTTCACAAAAATATGAGCCACCTCCATTGCTGAGTAAGGATGAGATAAAACAAAGAAGTGAGCATACTTAGTAAGTCTGTATAGCACCACAAAAATAGTGTTTTTCCCCTTTGCTTTGGGTAGCCCCCCAATAAAATCCATAGAGATGCCAGACCATACTTGAGTAGGAACTGGTAATGGTTGCAATAACCCAGGAGCCAAGGTTTTAGTTTTGTTTCGCTGACATACTTCACTTTGCATACATAAGCTTTTATGTCTTTTCTCATTCCCTCCCAATATAAAACTCCAACAACTCTTTTGAGAGTGCAAAAATAACCGATGTGACCTCCTACATGTAATTATATATATATATATATATATATATATCATGAAGCTCCTTAAGAATGATTGCAATTCGAGAATAGTGTCTAGGCAACACTAGTTTACCTTGATAATATAGTCGCCCCCTCTTTAACTCATAGGGTGCATGAGCCTTAGGATTTGCCAATAGATCTTGAATGATAATACTCAACTTAGTGTCCTTTAGCATCTCTAATTCCCAATCCTCCCACTCTTGGGGTTGCAAAACAGAGATATTTTTAAAATAAGCTTGTCTAGAAAGCGCGTCAGCCACGATATCCTCCCTTCCAGGTCTATATCAAATTTCAAAGTTAAATCCGATTAACTTAGAAGCTCATTTGAACTGTTCTTCTGTCAAAAGTTTCTGCTTAATAAAAAACTTTAAACTCTATTGATCAGTAACTATGATAAAATAGGTTCCCATCAAATAATGCTTCCATTTTTGCACTGCTTGAACCAAGGCCATCAACTCTCTTTCATAAATTAATTTGTTTTGAGCTCTCTTTGATAGTGCTTGGTTCCAAAATGCTAAAGGTTGGGCTTCTTGCAGTAGAATCGCACCCAATCCTTTGCTAGAAGCATCAGTCTCGACCACAAAAGATTTAGAAAAATCTGGAATTGCAAAGGTGGGTAAACATGAAACAACAAATTTAATAACCTCAAGCTTTTTGAGCCTCCACATTCTAACTAAACCCATCCTTTTTCAATACTTGGGTCAAAGGCTTGGCTATTTTTCCATAATCTTGAATAAATCGCCTATAATACCTCGTTAAGCCTAGAAGTCCTCTTAAAGACGTGGCGTCCTTTGGATTTGGCCAATTCCACATTGCTTCCACCTTCTTGGGGTCAGTTGACACCCCTGCTCCTGTAATCACATGCCCCAGTTACTCAATGTTGTTTTGGCCGAAGTTGCACTTCTTTCCATTGACTTTCAATTGATGCTCAATCAACTTTTTCAGGACTTGTGTCAAGTGTTGAATATGTATCTCCGATGAGGGGCTATAAATTATAATATCATCAAAAAACACCAAAACGAATTTCCTTAGAAAAGGCCTAAGAACCTCATTCATAAGAGTTTGAAAAGTGGCAGGAGCATTTGTCAGCCCAAAGAGCATGACAAGAAACTCATAGTGACCCTCATGTGTCTGAAAAGCCATCTTTTCAATGTTGCCCTCCCTCACATGGATCTAGTGGTATCCAAATTTAAGGTCCAACTTAGAAAATATGGATGCCCCAGCTAGTTCATCCAATAACTCATCTATTACTGGAATCGGAAATTTATTGGGAATTGTTAATTTGTTGAGAACCCTATAATCTACACAAAACCTCTAGCCATCATCTTTCTTTTTTACTAGAATTATAGGGCTAGAGTATGGGTTGATACTTGCAGGGATAATACCAGCTTTCAACATCTCACTAACCAAATTCGCAATTTCATTCTTCTGTTGGTGTGAGTACTGGTAGGGCCTAAGATTAGGAATTGAAGCTCCCTCTTTGAGATGAATTGTGTGATCTTGCTGCCATTTTGGAGGTAGCCCTTCCAAATCCTAGAAAACCTCCATGTGAGAACCCAACACCTCGTCAACTTTCTTTGGCACCCCAACCATCTCTTCTATTGTATTTTCTTTTACCACATCAACCAAGAACCCTATGTCACCCTTCTGCAAATCGGTGATCAACCTTTTAAAAGTTGCAGTGGTAGAAAGGGTTGGATCACCCACCATTATTATTTGATTATCCCCTCCACCTATGGTCAGCTTCAATTTGCCGAAATTTGCCTTCACTTCACCCAAAATGGCCAACCACTGCCGCCCCAAAACAATGTCTGGCCCCAATATCAAAGATGAAAAATTCTTGGCAAATCTTTAATCCTTGAATTGTTAACACCAAATCTGTGCATTTCCCTCGACATTTTAGCCTTTTTCCATCTCCAACCTCTACCACATAAGTAGGAGTAGTTATGAATTTTAAACCACATCTTCCCATTAATTCTTGTGAAAGAAAATTATGGGAAGCTCACAATCGAACATGAAAATCACCTTCTCATCCCCTATGTGTCCTCAAACCTTCCATGATTTCTTGGTGGTCAGGCCAACCAAGGTAAACATGGACAATTGTAGAACCTTGTCACCTTCATTGCCTACCTCCAATTCATCCATACCCTCCAATAATCCATCTTTATCTTCCCCCCCTTCATCAGTGACTAACAACATATAAAATTGTTTATTGCGGCAAACATGATTTGGATCATACTTCTCATCGCATCTGAAACATAGTCCCTTCTTAATCTTGTCTTTCATTTCTTTATCTGTCAGTTTTTTAAAAGTTGAGCCACGATTTCAAATCAATCCCTGGGTTTTGACAGGATGATTGACTGCTCCTCTTATCTCTTCTTTCCCTCTACTGATAATATTGAAAGTATTATTACCTTCTCTAGAAAAACTTCTTGTCATCCAATTGAGTTTGGAACCCAACCTGGCCTTGTTCTCCACTGGTCCCTTCCTTTAAACAAAATTCGGATTTTGTCCTCCACCATTTGAGCCTTCATCATTAATTCTGCCAAATTTGAAGGATCATACAACTTTACCTCTGCCTTAATATCATCCTTTAATCCATTCAAGAATATCCCGATGAGATAATCTTAATCAATGCCCTTTAGCAACCCCACATATTGTTCGAATTGTTCAATGTAATCCTAGACCGAACCAGTCTGACTTAAAGCAATAAGCACCTTAAAAGGATTCTGCAACATGTTGGGTTGGAAACAGCACACCACAGCTACTTTAAAAGATTTTAAGGCCTTCCCCTCCAATGCGACCATCACAACCTGCATTCTTTCCATATCATTGACTTCTTGCAGGTGAAAATACCATTCCAACATGTTTGTCCACCCAAACACATCATCCCTGCAAAAATTGCAATATCCAACTTTTTCCACCGTGATCCCTCCTTCAGCCGCCATTCTGAATCATGTGCAGCAGACTTTTATGGCATATGGCATAATTGTCTCCTTATTCGGCCCCGACGATGAAGCACTTGACATTTTTTCCACAACCCCCGTAAGGCCACTGATCAAATTCTCCAACCATTGTATGCGATCATGTTGCTCATTCTTTGCTCTATCTCTGTCACGCACCAGTTCTTGAAATAGGCGTTCCAACGCCTCTAATCTTGCTTCCATTCTGGTGTTAACAATAAGCCTGCTATCGCTACCATAGGGACCAAGAAAGTTGCTCTGATACCAATTGATATAACCCCAGCAATTACAGTCAGTAATTACTCCTAACTCCCTTTCCTCCAAACAATCCAAGAAAAAAAAACCCCTCAACAACATAAACACAGACTATATATAATAGTTTGTTAAACACGTTACAACAGTAGGAGGTTATAACTGCCTCCTTATTTATTTCTCCTATTATAAACCTTACCGCTGAACCTATTATATATATGAAGTTGATTATTCTTCATTTGGTTGATGTATTTATTTATTAGTTTATGTAGATGACATAGTTATAATAGATAATGACCATGAATTTGATGAACATGGTTTGTTTGCTCCAATCTGAGGGGCGGGGAGTTGAAAATATATCTTATTTTGGGAATATATTTGTTAGTAGTTGTATATTTGCTATTATTGTAAGAGAAGTTATATATCAAGGGAATTATACTTTGGTGCTTGCTTATGATGTTATAAAAGGAACCTGAAATTTACTTTGTAAAACACAAAAAAATCACTTCCTTTTCTTTTCTATTGTACAATTCATAGAAGAAAAATTAAGAGAGGAAAAATAGTTTTTTGTTTAAGGTTTTCTTTAATAGTTGTATTTTCTTGTTTCTAAGAGGGAGTGTTATTATTTCCTCCTTGGATTTAAAAAGAGATTTTTTTTCTTTTTTTCTTTTAATGAAATTATATTGTTGTTTATTGTTGATTTTGTTCCTCTTTTTCATCTTTGATTTTAACTGTGAATTCTTATGTCGTTACTTTAATACTTAATTTTGAGGGGGTAACACCTAGAGATATTAAGAAATCACAAGCCAAGAATATGATACTAACTTTAACTAAAAACCTTTAATGCATTAGGAATCACAAGCCAATAATATGATACTAACTTTCTCATTTTTATCCAATGTGGGATTTCAACTCACTTGGATTCCAACAATAACCCCTTAAGTGAGTCCCTTCTACATTGGTAAACTCTCCCTTGATTGGAAACATCTCTTATGCATGAGTATCTTTATGGTGACCCTTACTTATACTGTTGTTTGATATAACGGGATATGTTTGCTTGAAACTAAAGTTAGAAAGAGTTTCAATATAAGGATTATATGTTATTCAACTTTCACATTTCTACCTAATATAGGATTTCAACTTACACTTCGATTTCAACAATTAATAACTACTTAGGATTAATTTGTATGTTTTTTGATATATTTTCCTATTTCTCTTGTTTTCAAGGTTGTAATCATGTTCTAGGCATACTTAATAGTTTTATGAGGGTTTCTTTAAGCAATTTAATATCCCTTTTCAAGTATATTTTGCTGTTAAAAGTTTGCAAGTCTTAGACGCCTCTTAATGACTAGAATATATATATATATATATATATATATATATATATATATATATATATATATATATATATATATATCGGTAATTTGTTTTGTCTCTTGATAGGTCTTCTGTTAGACAAAGAAGGAACCCAAAAGATTCTTTAGAACTGACTAGTGTTCAAGAGCTTCTTGATGAGATTAATGGTAACTGTGACCCTGGTATGATTCTAGATTACTGATAATGACAACTCTGTTCTGTGATGTACCGATGTACGTTGATTTGGAACATGTTTCCTACTGACATCTATCCTGTAGGCATGATGGACATTATACGGCATTGCACATATGTTGGAATGGCAGATGATGTTTTTGCTTTGCTTCAACATAATACTAGTCTTTATCTTGCAAATGTTGTGAACTTGAGGTAGATATTATGTATTTTTTGGTTTATGCTATGGAATATTTAACCCAATTCTATAATAAGTCATAATGTTTGAAGCATATGAATGTTAAAAACAAATCTGATTGGGTATACTAATTTTGCATTTAGATTTGACTATAATGTGGTATATAACCAATATGTCCGAGGGAAGGAAGAGATGGTGAGAAAATTTGTGATGTAAATTGTAAAGCTGCCTATGAACTGCTTTTGCCAACATCCATTTTAGAGGTTTCACTTTGAAACATACAACCTCTTGTGATTCTTATGGCAGGATCGTTTTCACACATACATCTGTAACTGACATCAACGTACATGCTTGAATTGTCTTACTGAATTCCTTATTATTTTCTTGTGAGTCTTCTTGGTTGTAATGAATCTTTATTTGTTCCTGTTAACTAGGTGACTTTGAAAACACCTATATAACATTTTCAATTTTTTTTAGTAGTGATGGGAGGGGAGAAGACCACCCCCCTTAAGGAAAAAATCACCAACCAAAAGCAGCATCAGAATGTTTGTCAATGCTTCAATTTGAATGACTTAGGGGCAATGACATCCCCTAATTGACAGTTATTTCCCTCCCAAAGCAACTGTAACCAAATCAGGATTATTCACAATATCCCACTTTGTTTTTTCATCCAACAACAACACGACTCAAAGAACATATTAAAGGAAAGAATTCTACTCTCCCTAAATCACTTGTACTTGATTGAGACCAATCTAACTAAAACATATCACTTCTATTCAGTTAAGGCTGCAATTGAAGAACCATAAGGTCAGTACAAATTCCATGGAATTTTTGGTCCAGAATGCTGTTACAATCACATACTGAGTTTCTTCGTTTTCAACCTCCTTTAAGGTAAGCAAGGCATAATTTCCACCTCCAATCCTAGCCTCCCCCTTCTCTACATGTTTGGCCCTAGCCTTTATATGTGGTTCATGAGTTTCTTTTCCTCCTTTCCACTGTTATGAGCATGAGATTCCTGAGAGGGAAGAATGGGTCTTCCACCTTCAATCTCTCATCTCAAAGCCCTAGCTTCAAGACAGTGTGTCGGTGAAGCTCTATCCCACTCTCCCATATGGTTGGATGCATTAAAACACAATCCAATTCTTTTGCAAAGATACCCTTCGATTTATCCTTCCTATAAGAAAAATCCTCACACAAGGGCTTAGTATTACCTTTTAATTTTAAGTACTTGTTAAATCAATTTAATTTTTAATAAAATATTAAATTGAAACATATTCTTGTGTTTATATAAAACAAGTAGAATAATTCATTCTTCAAAGCAATAGAAATTATTAAGTTAAATTTTTTGGAGTGTTACACTGTTCATTGTTCAGGCCTTAGGCCCGAAGCATTCTTTTATGATGGAGCATGTTAGAGATATAAAATTATTTTAAGCCGTCCACCTAACTGCTTTCTAGAAGTGGTCATTGACATTCTATCCTTGATTCATTTGCAGCAAAGAACTTATGTATCAGCAAGTTCTTAGCCGTTTTGGCCATTTCAATGCCATTCAACTAAATGATCCAGTCCCCTTGAAAGACTTGATTATATTGGCACTGAAGGAAGAGGATGTAGATTCAGAATGTAATGATGAAGACGTCTTAAAAGATAAGATTGCAGAAGTAATCTCTCTCTGGCCTTAAATGACTGATAGTTTTAACTTGAATGTTTTGTATCGTCAATAATTGTACCTTTTGTTTGCTCTGGGGTTGGGGTTATTGGAGCATAGTTTTACTCAGCATTTTACATTACTTGTACAGCAGCAGTTCAATAGGTTTAGAAGGTCTTTGACTGTCAATTGTTAGAAGCCATTGACCTAATCTTGTAATATTTACACCTGATGTAACTCGGATATACTTGGGGGTAATGAATTTCTTTTTTAACAATCACAGAAACTTCTCTCATATTCTCTCTTTCTCTGAAACTCAACAAGGTATCCCCTTTGAATTACTTATTTTGTGAAGTTTAATTGAAAAGAACATGGCAAACTTGTTTGCATTTTGTTTCGTTGTATTATTAAAAGTATAAAAAACTGCTCAGAAAAGTCTTATTAGTTATGGAAATGCGGCCATGCAGATCGTATTCATCAAGGATTATTCGTAGGGATTGATGCTAGACAACTTCTAAGATGTCAAATGGAAAATATGCCTGTAATAATGGTCCTTAAGCATCTAGTATAAATTAAGCTGCAGGGTGGGTTCATCCAACACCCTTCTACATGCACGAATTCTCCATTTTCTTTATTTCTTACTCTTCCAAACAATGTTGTATCTCTAATATTTCAAAATTCAACGAAACAAAAATGCAACTAGAACTCCCTTGGATAACAAAAAACCTTTGAAGTTCTTGACCTTTCTCCTCATGGGGCCATCAATCTTCTCTAACACCTTGGCTCATGATCTGAACACAAAAGCAAAGCTCCTTAACTTTTTGACCTTTATTCAAAGGTCCCCATGTTGACGTCATAATAGAATATTCTACATTTTGTTGTATAGCGGCATATAGGCTCTGATTTAGAGGAAACGAATGTCCTCTATTATTTGTAATGAATGTAATAATCCTATATAAATCAATCTCTGTGATCTCTTCAAGCACAGGGTTTCAGCCAATCATGTCCTTGCTTCTCTCTCTCTTTCTTAACAACGCTCAAATTTTCTTCTGATTGTTCCTGATGTCAGTCTCCGACCATCCAATAACACACAGTCGCGCAAACTCTTCATAAAGAAACCCCTTAATCACAAATAGAATCAAGGTCACACTAACCAAAGCAATAAATCATAATCCCTCTATTTCCTGAGGATATATCAACTTATTATTTTTAATTGAGTAACAGCTCACCAGTAAAGCACCCCAACTCATGGAGGAAAAGTTTTCTCAAGAAAACTTAGTGATCCAACCCAACAACAAATAACAAGGTGATGTGTCACCTAGATCCATACCCAAGCCCATAATCCAGCAAGTGTACTCCTGCAGGTGCAAGATGAAGGGAGGCACCAATTAATGGGTCCTGTTAGAGGAGAGAAACATGAAGTTAGAATTGATTGGTAAATAGTTGGGGGAATGGGGAATATTCATGTTAGGCACATAATTCTCTTTCTATTCTCTGTCTTCATAGGATTTCACTGACTCTGTTATATTTTGAATTAGAGTAGGGGACTAAATAATGCAATTTTTATCTGGCAATGTGACGAATTTGGCTTATTGTATAGTTATATATCCACATATTCATTCGATAGTTTCCTTTTAAATTTTACAGATATTTCTTTTGCTATTCCCCAGATGAACACAGAACTGCTCAAACAAAAGGCTGAAATGCTGGAGGAATATTTTGGCATTCATATAGATGCGCATGGAAATGTTTCTAGACTTCCTGTGATACTTGATCAATACACTCCTGACATGGATCGAGTCCCGGAGTTTGCTCTTTGTTTGGGCAATGATGTTAGTTATAAATCTCTTTGTTCTTCTCTCTTCACCTTTGCAGAAATGTCTTTTTTTTTTTTTTTTTTTTTTTCTGTATATATCTGACTCATTGGTAATATTATCAGTTATACTTGTCTTGCCTGAATTCAGTTTATGTACTATGATTAATATGGCCATAACATGTGTCCATATTTTGTGTATTTTGATTTTTGAGCAAGTACCATCTTGTTTATTCAGTTGTTATTCCATTGAATTCATCACTAAATATTCAAGGGCATGCTTATTATAATTAAGAATGCTTCATAATGTTTTCTAATCACTTCATTTTTTGCTTTACTGTTAAAAGATTGTGATTTATTTTTATGATAGGTTGATTGGGAAGATGAAAAGAATTGCTTTCAAGCAATTTCAGCTGCTCTGGGAAACTTCTATGCTATGCATCCACTGATGTTGCCCAATCCGTCTGGTGAAGGCTTGCTTTTCTACAAGAAGAGAAAAATGATGGATGGCTATGTTGAACAGAATACCCATGATAATGCTGGTAAGGACTTACGCTTGTTACTTTCTGATCATTCATACCCAACATGTATATATCCTCACTTATCACTACAATACACACTTCTAATGTAAAGAAAAGTAAAAATCTGCGCAATGGGGTTATGTGTGACTGAATGAAGTTTTAAAATTATTGTTGTTAAGGTTAGGGGAGCAATTTTACATTGCAACTGTTAAATTTATTTAACCTGAAATATTTTGTGCAATATCATGATACATAGCTTCCTCCCTAAACCTCCCAATTGCAGTTTCCTTTAACAACCAAAAACACAATGCTTACTAGTAGAGTTACACTGCCAAAAGATGAGGTAAATATGTAAGGGCTGCAAACTGTTTCTGTCCATGATTCTTAAACCCCATATAGCCGTTTCTTTGGGTAACCATGATTTGGGCATCTGAGCCTATGTTGATGAATTGGGCAGCTATGCTGCTTTCTGTCTGTTCTTTTGTTATTGAGGATATCTTGACCTCATCTGTCGTAATGAAATTCTTATTTATTAACAAGGGTTTCCCTTTCAACCTGTGCTCCTAGGTTTCATCACTGAATGCTGTAAACCGTGTTGTAGGGCTAAGTACTTTTAATCTTTTATGAAGATTTCTCTCTAATTTTAACAAAAATTAATTTTCTTGCCAATTATTATATGTAATGTATATGCAAATGTATTTTATTGTTTCTTACATTCTTTTAGAATAATTATGTTTATTAAATTTCAGAGGTTTGACTTAAGACAGAAAAATATGATAAAGGAACTGAAGTGATTAATTATCTTTTAGCTAATTCATTTATTTATGGGAGAACGTACATGATTACAAAGAGTGTAAAGACTAAAGGCTACTCTTAGATGCCAATAACTGATAAAATACAGCTTATAGTGAAGGTAGGTTCACCTATCACAACAAATTATCTTAATAAAATAACCTATTTTAACCGATTGAATAAGGATGGAATAGTTTTGATTTTTTTTTTCCTTTTACCAATTGTCTATCTTGTGAAATTTGATGAGAATATATAATTATCACTAGTTTGAGAACTTAAAAAATCTTGTCCAAGTAATTTAGTCATTGTTGACTTGTTTATTATTGTTTCATCTATGAATAAAAGTGTTTTGATCTTATGTTCATAAGGTTAATTACCACATCTGAAGTATAGAAACTTTAGTCTGTCACGGTTTTATCCTTAAAAGATATATTGGTAGCTTAAGAGCGAAGTTTGTATATAAATTATCCTTAGTCACTACTACTAAGCGATGTGAGATTCATGAGCATACCGAAACATAATCCTTAATCAAGGACTAAGGGGTGGAAGAAAACTTGAGACTCTAGTCTCGGTCCAATGGGGGCGCCAATGTTTCATCTAACAATGAGAGTGTCTCAGTCTCATGTCTATTATGATAATATCGTTAATATTAATAACCATGTCTAAGGTAATGTCTACTTTGAAACTTTAGTTTATCACGGTTTTGTCTTTAAAAGGTACCTCGATGGGTTAAAAGAGGAGGTTGTATAAAAACTATTCTTAATCCGACTCCTAAATAATGTGGGACTCATGAGTGTATCGAAACAATTATATATCAAATTCGGTAGAAAAATTGACAACATAATGGCTTAGGTGCACAATGTGAGTTGGGAACCTTGGTTGTTTGTAATAGAGTCAATTCCAATCCTGATTAATTTTCGATTTCAAATTACTAGTTTGTGGTTTTTGTATTGGCAAGGACTTCAATGATTGAACAAAGGAAATATTCAAAAGGAAGGAGATTACATTTGGGTCTTAGGAGGAGTGCTAGTGGGTAAAATGTTATTGCTAAATATTTAAATCTTTTCTTTGAGGTAGCCACACAACCGAAACAAATCCTTGCTCAGGGTGTAAGACCACAAATACAGAGGTTTCCCTTCCCCACGTGTTTCGCGTGGGCTTAACTGATGTATTTGCAGAAATCTCTCAACTGTTGAGCTTTGTCCAATCCCTTTTGCCACAATAGACTATATCATTATTCACTCACTATTGGATTAGAAGTTAAGGAACACAATGATACTTTAGGCTGATTATTTTGGATTAAACCAGCTATACTTCTTGGTACTCGTTATTGCTTTAAGTGCAACATGTTATGTTCATCTTGATTCTACTAAAAGCTCATTCAGATTATTTCTACTAAAAATTCTACTTGATTCCATTTTTTACCATGTTATTATGTCTACTAGAAATATGAGGTGGTGGACCTGGTTCTTGATTGGGAAGGAAAATATATGGAAACTGATATTAAGAAAAAAGATATTATCAGGATTGTGCTATTTAATAAACTTGACTGAGCTAGTTGTCTCCAGGGAGTGACTTGATTGACAAAAAAGTTGAACATGAACTGCTTTCTGAAGCTGAGACAGCATGGGCCCAGCGCGAATGGTCGATACAACATGTGCTTTTTCCTTCTCTGAGACTCTTTTTCAAACCACCCGTTTCGATGGCTACTGATGGAACCTTTGTTCAGGTAATTAATTATATACATTAATAGGGAGCTTACCTTTCTCTCTATGAAAATCTCATCCTTCATATTCTCTCTATTATGAATGACAAAATTCATACTCTTATTTGCTTAGTTGTATATGTTGGCTTGCCTGATTAAGAGTGCATGAAGACTAGGGTTTTTCAGTTATTGATCACAAACTTACTATATCTCTCTCCCTCTCTCCGGTTACAAAGACATCGTAAAAAATGTTGAGGAGAGGAGAAAATGTAGGCTACATTTGAGCATTGAATCACATTGCTCATCTAATACTTATCCTTGACTTGTCGGTTAAAATTTACGGATCTATAGCTGATAGATATAGAAGGAGAAAGTTTTTCTTAATAATAATACCAAATCCCTTAGTTTTGGTGGAATGGGGAGGAGGGTATTTAATTTAATCCTGCAGAAGATGTTTGACCAGTTCCATCAATTTGTTTATTTTTAATATTTTTTTGCAGGTAACTTCGCTGGAGAAACTTTATAAGATTTTTGAAAGATGCTAGGCAACCATATGGATTGAGACTTATCCGTTTTTAAGTGGGTCTGGGCATTTTGGGTTTTGGGATTATTTGTGTTATCTGTAATTACGTATCTAGATGATTCAAGTGTATAGGCATTATGTAGATGATGCACAAACATTTTCCTGAAACTGATGAAAAGTACATTCTAACTTTTGTCCAACGTATCGTGCTCTTACATTTACTCAACATGTCTATAGGAGTCATCCATGCATTAGATTACAGTTAATACCTTTAATCTATCAATTGGTGAACGGATTATGCAGTTCCTTTCTTTATTTCGACTTCAATAAGAATATACAGTTTCAATCAATAGCTATGATATTTCTCATTTACTTTCAAACAAATATTTGTTCACTTCAATTTAAGATCAAACTTTCATCACAGATAGGAAATTGTAAAAATTGCATTATTTCTATATCATACTTTACTCGGTTAATGATATACAAGTATTTACCAGCGTGAGAATTGAGGACTCGTTGTAAAATGATACATTTGTCACAATTAGATGACATGCGCACGAACTCCAACAGTTACCCAATTTCTCAAAGAAAACAAAATTTCAAAATAGGGCAAAACGAGTTCCAATTGGAAAAAAAAAAAAAAGGGTTTTGGAAAACAAAATTCAAAATAAGGCAAAACGAATTCTGGTTGAAGAAAAAATAAGGCATTTGAACAAGTCTGCGGTAAGTAATAGAGGACATGCACAATAAAAGTAATTCTTTTAATCTTTTGTTCACATGAATAGTTTGACAATTTTTTTCTTAACAAGTATATAATAGGGCTAGAAGAGCTTTTTCATTATAATTTCCGTTTCTAATTCAACTAGTTGAGAAATTGAACTTGTCTATGTACATCCAGATACACAACAACAACAAAGTAGAGTTCATCTCACAAAATCGTAGAACATGTTCAGAAACCCCCATGACGGAGGTAAAGTACTGATCTATAAAGGGCAGCAACATGTAGGAAGCAGACGAGCCCAATTAAGACATCATCTAAGAGACCAACTATTCCTAATATTCCTGAAACAAACATAGAAATGGAGAAACACATTTACTACATGAAATATTATAGAAATTACAACCCAAAAAGAAAATGGGGTACAACATACTACCTACCTTCTGGTATGATATCAATTGGGCTGAGGATGTATATAACACTTACTATCATCTGTATGTAAAAGACACTGTGAGGACCCATGCTCAAAGATCAACCAGTAAAAATAAATTACTAAAATTCTGGCAGCTAAATGGATCTCCTTAATTTAAAGAAGAACACAAGCAAAGAAGAAAGGAAAAGAAAACAATACAAAGTATGGACCCCCGCTAGGTGCAGCACTTGGGTGTTTATTGATAATTTTTGGAAAAACAAAGAAACTACTATGTCCCTTAACATGTATCTGCTTGGGAATTTCCCATCACCCTGCATGTGTTCTCTCTCACAAAAGCTCCATTCAACGTATATTTTTTAATATTAGAGAAACTCTATGGTACCTATTATTGAGAATTAAATACTTTTTTTGGTCCTATTATTGAGAATTTCCCTTCTCTCTTTTCCATAATGTGCTCAAACTCATATTCAGCAATTACCCCAACACGAAAACCCTTAAATTTTGAAGGGTACCATAACAACACTCATATTACTATCCCATGTCATGAGTGAGTTTTAAACTGCTAAAGAAACAATTTACTGTCACACACAACCCATATGAAACAAAGATACCCAAAACCTAAGTAAAGCAATTGTATCAATATTCAAGACCATGAACGAAAATAATGGATAATTGGTTGAGGAATCCAGTTAGGGCACAGAGCATGCAATAAAGAGGAAGAGTGAGGAACTGACAGCAACAAAGACACGGGCACGGATGACGAGAGGAAGAGATCTGTGAGGGTCGAGGAACTCCCGCAGCAGCCTGTGCAACAGAAAAGGAAGATCTTGCACTCTCTGCAATCACCATTCGGAATCAACTCGGCAGAACCGCGACAAGAAATAAGAAAGCAAGAAAAAAATGAGATGGGTACCTGAAAAAAAGAGGTGGGTTGGCCACCAAAGACACGGTTATAAGCATGAATCTTGGAGAGAATCTGAGCAACTTGAGGGTCATGGCGGTGCCTGAGAGAGTCTTCGGAGGGGACTAAGAGAGTGATGGGTCGGCGACAGAGAGGGCACTTGCAAGAGCTAGTCCCTGATCCGTGCTGCCACACTAGCATGATGCAATTTCCTGTGAAATCATCAGCTTGTCATGAAATTGAAGGGTGAAACATGGAGGGATTGAATGAAAGAGAGAGAATTATGATACCGCAAAACCAGTGAGAACAATTGGCTTGACAGGGAATGTGAAAGTTGCCATGGCACACTGAACACAGATCGTTCGCGGGAGGACCAGACTCCATTGCCATTCATTCATTCATTCATTCACCGATTGCTGACGCTGATTTGCTGTTTTCTTAGTGTGCACCTCTTTCTTGATGTTAAATCGGTAATTTCCCTTCTTCCTTCATAAACTCTTCATCAACTCTCTAATTTTCTCTTATAAAAAATAACATGAAAAAAACTAATATAATGGGTTATGTATATTTATCGCAGTTATACAAAATAATTATGATCAAACATTTTATAACAAAAAAAAGACACAACTTCTTCCCAACAATTTATTCCCACTTTTACTTTCCAACTATCCGAACACACTAAATATGTTTTGTTAGATGAAACTTTTGTGAGAACTATTTAAATGTATATGACATGTACAACAATTTTGTTGCGTGTGGGTTGGGAAATTCAATTTTATTTTGGGATGTGATTAATTTGTTATGAATTTTTGGGATCGCATGTTTATTTACTTATATTAAATATAATAAATAAATTATTATTTTTATATTCAATCCAAAATTTGAGTCAAACGGTATGATTTAAGAAAAATAAATAAATTTAAAATATAAGTATAGACGATATTCTCTTAAACAAATAAATAAAATAAAAATGATGTTTTTAATAATTGGTGATTCAATTATCATTTGGAACTCTGATTTAAAAAATAAATAAATTTTATTTATTAAAATACACATATAGAAAGTGTGAGTTCCAATTGCGTGAGAAGAATGTGTGAAAAATGAATAATCATATAATTCCACCTTTTAGTTCCTGCAATACAATTTCTTAAAGATTAATTGGGATTTAATTTCCAATATAAAATATAAAACTTATTATATATTGTTAAAATTTGCAAAAAATAAATCTTAGTAGATATTGTATTAGCAATTACAAAAGTCTTTAAAAAAAAGATTTTTGAACAATTCATGGTGAATCTATTTGAGGACAAGAACTACCAAATGTTATGTTGAGAAAGTGAATATAACTAACTTTTCCTTCAGTTAAGGATGTTGTGTATCCTTAAGAGTTTGAATTGTTAGTGAGTGGTTAATTGAGAATACACATATTAATACTCGCACATTTGGTAAGGAAGAGAGAAAAAGGCTCTGTTCAATTCTCTTCCTTAAGCTTCGGAGTAGATGAGACTGATCGAGGCAGAACCATTTAATCAATATATATAGAATGAGAGATTCCTTAATCTCCATAAACGTAAACACAGTTCACACACCAACACAAACGCACTTGTTTTCACATACAGCCTTAGAGAAATGGTACACTCACCCTCTTCTTCTCCATCAACTATCTCTCATGCCATTATTTCAACATTGATTGATTGGGTGATTTGGTTTCAGGAGTACGCGAGTGGGAATGCGAGGGATGAACAAAAGCAGGAAAATTGGATGCCGGTAACGCCAAATAGGAAGGCAAAATGGTGGTATTCAACTTTCCACAATGTGACGGCTATGGTGGGTGCAGGGGTCCTTGGCCTGCCATATGCCATAGCCCAGCTTGGATGGTATGTGAAATAAATGAAGACTAGTGCTACGTTTGATTCCTTAGGAAATTCACGTTTGATGTTAATCTTTTGCACAGGGTTCCTGGTGTTTTTATGATCCTATTTTCGTGGGTTCTGACGTTTTATACCCTGTGGCAACTGGTTGAAATGCACGAGTTGGTTCCTGGGAAGAGGTTTGATCGATATTTTGAGATGGGAGAGCACATTATGGGGCCAAAGAAAGGGTTTTGGCTGGTCATGCCACAGCAGCTAACGGTTCAGGTGGCGTCAACCATTGTCTACAGTGTCACCGGTGGGAAGTCCCTCAAGAAGTTCTTCGAATTGCTCAGAGTTTCTTCCATGGGTGGAATCAGACAAACATATTACATCCTCTTCTTTGTGGTGGTGCAGATAATGCTTTCCCAAACTCCTAACTTCCATGATTTGAAAGCAGTTTCTTCTCTCGCTGCTCTCATGTCCATCCTGTGCGTTTCGTTTCATTTCGTTCCTTCACCAACCTCATTAAACACATTTTTGTAAGATGCAATGTGATGTGTTTGTGCAGGTATTCGCTGGTGGCATTTTTAATGTCGATGGTGGAGGGGGTGAAGGATCATCAACCCAGGCATTATGGAGTTCGATCTCACACAACCGCAGGGATAATCTTTGATGCTTTCAATGCCCTTGGAACCATAGCATTTGCCTTTGCAGGACACAGTGTTGTTTCTGAGATTCAAGCCACATTGCCCTCAACTGAAGAGACACCTTCAAAGGTTCCTATGTGGCGAGGTGTGGTGGTGGCATACTCCATTGTCATTTCATGCTATATTTCAGTTGCAGTTTCTGGATTCTGGGCATTTGGAAGTGCTGTCGACGATGATGTCCTCATCACCCTCGAACACCCCGCTTGGCTCATTGCTATTTCTAACCTCATGGTCTTCGTTCATGTCTTGGGAAGCTTCCAGGTACATTTTATATATACATATACATATACATATAAATGCTCTCATACAACATCATTCACACTTTGCTTTATTTTTGTTCCTTATCAAGGTTTTCGCCATGCCTGTGTTTGATGTAATGGAGAGAACTTTGGTGGAAAAATTGAATTTTACTCGCTCAAAGATCCTTCGCATAGTTAGTCGAAGCCTTTACGTTTGTAAGAATTAATTGTCTCAAACAACCTGTGCATTCTTAATTGTTTATCTTAATTATAATCCGATGTTAACCTGAATTATTTGTTTGCAGGTGTGGTGGGAATCATTGGCATGTGTATTCCTTTTTTCGGAGGACTACTAGGGTTCTTCGGAGGAATTGCTTTCACATCAACGTCGTACATTGTAATATCCGAAACTATAATATCTATACATGCTTCAAATCTTAACTAGAGACAGACTAATATATAATTTTGAAACGTTTGATGCAGATTCCTGGTGTGTTATGGCTTGAGGCAACAAAACCTAAAAGATGGAGTTTTCATTGGCTAGCATCATATGTGGGTATTTTATTTTGTATTGAATTTATATAAATGAATAAACTTTATAGTGTTTTGATTTGTTTATATTTTGTTACAGTTATGCATAATTGTTGGGTCTGTAATAGCACTTCTTGCACCCATTGGAGGAATAAGAACAATTGTGGTTTCTGCAACGACCTACAAGCTATTCTCTTGATGGAGGAGGAGGAGGAGGAGTTGTGTTGTTGAATGTGTTATAGAGATAGAAACGAATCTTCATCTTCATCTTCGTCTTCGTCTTCATCTTCACATTCTTTCTGTGCTTTTTTGATAAAGATTTAGGATGAAAGATTGTTATTTGCATCAATCTTTCTTTCTGATTTGCAGAAAAATTGGCTATGAAGTTTGTAGCTGATTAATTAGTCCTGCTATTTCGCAGCCATTTTAGATGCGAAATCATTGGTATTTGTAAAACATTGTTCGGAGAATTTTTTGAAGGTTATGAATGCAAGACTAAGATGAATTAGCTAGGAAACAATTTTGCCCCACAAGAGTATGTGTGTATTTTATCTTTCTGATTTATTGTAATACATGAATTTGCATTTTGTTTATTACTCTATACAAGAACTAATTTCTTTTTTTCTCTCTCTCTCTCTCTATATATAACGTTATTTATTTATTTATTTATTAGTACGTATTATCATTAATTTTGTTATTCATTAATAATACTATATTTATTGTATACTTTTGGTATAAAACACTTATATTAATAGTTATTATATATAGATTGATATCTTTAAAATCATTTGAAATATTATTACCATAAAAGTTATTTTAAATCAATAATTTTAAAAAAATAACAAGTTTGAAATTCGAATAATAATAATAATAGTTATTATTATTATTATTATTATTATTATTGTTAAACTTAAATAAAATAATAAAAATATAGAAAATTAAGAAATAAATTACTATTTTATATAATGATATATTTTATTTATTAGGTTTGTCATTAAAATATGTGGTTAAAGTCAATGTAAGAAAAGATGTGGTCAGAAATTTGCCTTTTTGAATATTTTATTTAGGAAGGTGATAATGGTATTTTCAAGGAGAATGTGAAATTCAACGTTAAAAAAGATGTACATATAATTAAGAAGTTAATATTATAAAAACAAAAAGTTGTAAAAAAACATCAATATAAGTAAATTCTATCAAGATATTAAAAGTTATTCATTTTAAAACGAATTTTATATATTATTTAATTATATTAATTTTTTTAATATAAGTCAGATTTCATAATCATTATATAAATTTATAAATAATTTAAGTATATTGAATTTAATTTTTTTTAAATCATTTGTTTTGATATGAAAATTCAAATTTATTAAGATTTTATTTTTTTATTTTGATTAGGATAGATGAATATATTTGAATATGACATAATAAGATAATAATATGAGATAAGTTAGATAAGAAGATGTCAAATTAAGATAAATTTGAATAAATTAAGATGAGTTTAAGTTGAGATAAATTGGGTTAGGTAAATCAAACCTACTTTAGGTAGTTGATCAAACTTAATCAAGAAGAGTTGAATCAAGTTAAATTGAGTTAGGTCAAACTAATACAAGATGAACCAAATTAAAAGTGACTGAACTAAGATGATTCAAATATGGTCACAACATGTAACCCTGATTCGATCTAAGTCTAGATAGGTTAGATCAAAAGCTAAATCATATTTATATTAATTAAGATAAATCATGTTAAAACATAAAAAGATAAAAAAAACTTAAATATTATAAAATAAAATAAAAACTAAAATTTGAAATTCTTATTTTATAAAATTTGAAATTCTCTTATTTTATACAATTAAAATATCTTCATTAATTTTTAAAATTTTAATTATTTTTCAAAATATTTATTAAGCAATCAATTTTATCTCAAAACATGTCGAAGACACTGGATGAATTATACTCTATCAAAATATTGAATAAAACTGTTTTTATATTCACTTTTTATAACCATCAAATAAAATCATTATAATGAATTCTATCATTTCGTTTATTATATGATTAATTAAGAACATATCACTGGATAACTAGTTTTATTGGATTGGTATAACTATGGCTATGCATATTCAATGCATATCACTGTATACTTAATTTTAAAACGTGTCAACGTACTTTGATATTTTTGAAATAGGAAAATCATGATATTAGTTTAGATGTAATGATATTCAAAGATTACAAATACATCAGTGGTAAAAACGACATGTGAATTACATGGGCATGCATGTACCATAGGGAATGGGTAAGTAAGGTAAGAAACACAATCATGTTGCACATTTATATTTCTTCATATCTAGACTGCATAGATACGGTACGGATACAGACACAAAGAAACACTGATATTCTGAAACCCCTTACAATCATTCAACAATCAATAATAATACATATTATTATTTTATTAATATAAATAGTTGTCAACCCAACATTTTCCGATTTGAAACATTACATAACGTAACTACTCGAAGAATATTGACTCATCCAAATGCTTGAGCAAGATGTAGCCTAACCATACATATGTATCATGTGTGCCCTACGAGTATCTAAACCAGATATCATGGACCTAGTATACGGCAACCATGTAAGAGTACCCACACATACGGTGTCCTAAATACTTCAATTAAACTTAAATATCCGTAGTTAAAATTGTGAGGAGGGGACAATCAACTCTGGCTTCCAAATTGCTTCTGAATATCCTTGAAAGATATGGTGGCTGATCCCCTTCTTTTTGCTTTCTGCTGAGATGAATGTTCCCTCCAACCCGTCATGTATATAACCTACAAAGGCAGAATCACGGTGTAATTAAATTATGATTTCAACTGATCCAAGATAAAAATTGTTGCAAGTTCCATTTTCACTGGTTTTAAGTTGGTTTTATGAAAATTTTACAATTTTTAATAATGTTATGACATCACATCATTTTCGTTGAAACATAAAGAAAACGTGTACTGTGAATTAGTCATTTCCGAGAAGGCAACATTTTCATGATGTTTGCTCAAGCCCTTGAATAAATGAAAGACAAAAACAACAATACACATCCTACAGGTTTACACCTTCATTTCCCCATTTATACTGGACTATCAGTTTGAGGACTTTGACCAGAGTTAATTTATAAAAGTTTAGAGTTTGTCAAGAACATTTTCTTCTGAATGATGAAAAAAAAATAATTTTTGAAACCAAATACCCCTACAAGAAAAATGCAAAATAATTAAATGCAAGTCACATCCCATGCAAACTGATCTCACAATTGACTTGGTTCAGCAGTTGTTTCTCATTAATGGCCATTAATTCTGCCTTCTGATGTAGAACACGTCATATAATCTAAAAGAATTGACTAGATTTCCTAATGCATTTGAACCAGAACAATGAGCTAGAGCATCATAATTAACTCCCATGAAAATGCATGTGCTAATCTTTTGTCCCATTAAACCTACTAAGCAAAAATAATTAAATCCCTCGGGAACCTAGTAAAAATAATTAACTTCCTCACAAACCTCTTACGCATGCTATCTTAGTGCATTACTTGGTCTTGAAGCAATTAGGCCATGTTAGATAATGTTTATTATTAGTGTTGTGTACTTCACAATTTATTGATGTATATTACGTGTATGCAACAATTGATTACGCTAGAAGTATAACTGGTTTTTTAATATATGCTAGAGGAGTAACTGATTTTCTTTGTATATGATTTGCTTATAAACATTATATATATTTTACACATTTGCTTGCCCGACTAAAAGAATATAAATGTACATCCAAAGAAACGACCTCAAAAGTTTAAACCTCTCTTCTTACTGGTTTGTGAAACACTAAGAGACAGTTTTGATATAAACTACACTACTGGTTCTTATGAATGATTCCTCTATTTGATTACCTGGAAGGTTGCAGGAACAGTTCCATCATCTGAAGAAAACATTGAATCATAAATAGCTGCAGTTGCTAAAGCAGTGTCCCTCTTCAGGATCTGTTCATATATGCATAACCCTTTTTTCAAGAATGGAATGCCACATCCATGGCTCAACTTTTGATAAAAGGAATTTTATTTAATATCTATGCGTATAAAAAAATATATACTTTACATTGTTCATGTCAAAAAGAGCATTTGTTTCACCCATTGCACGGAGATGTTCTATAAGCTCTAGAGCTGCACAGGAGATAGACAAGAATCGTCCTTTCAAAAATTTATCACCAGCTATGAGGTAAGAAATTCACATTATTCAATGAACAAGTAACAGCTTGAAACAATTCATACATGTTGAAAATTGAAATTCAACTATAAAAAATATACAGAAGTAGAATAAAAACCACTATTTCTCTCAGTTTTTGCCAACCCTCCCATACTCTCTTCTTTTAAAAAATTTCTGTGAAAAAAAAACTCAAACCATCCTCACTCCTCCTAGTCAAGTGGAAATTCTGTTATTCTAGCAATGGATATTCTTTTAGCCACAAAATTGTCTATGACGTGGTATGGTTTTTGTGGCCTTTACTTCCCACACACCTATAAGTCATAAAAGTCACCATGGTCATCTCAGCAAATTTCTTATCTTCCTTTGATCATCTACCAGAACTGAGATTCCAAACTAATGAAGAATACATCTAGCAAAAATTCTAGGGAGAACTCAATTCATTTAATTGACGTCATGCATGCAAAATAATTCAACTATTGAACCAAATGAAAATCCTCACCACTTTCATATTTAACTATATACTCATCAACATCAACACCTGGAAGGGTGAAACCTGCCCTGGTCAAAAGATTCCCAGCATCTCGAACCTGAAAATGGAGGGCAAAAGTACTTCTCAGTTCCGTCTTTACTATCCCATTTGGACAAAAATACACGTCTTCATTTCAAGCATTAACATTACAACAAGCCAGATTAACTAATTGATATTTAAGAGGCATGCAAGACTAATATTGTCATATTGGACATGTGTTTAGACAGACATATTTGCTTCAAATTAACCACCACCAACGGGGAGTTACTGTCAAACAAAATAATGGAATTCATTATTGCATTGCCAACAGACAACGATTGGTGTTAGAAAACCACCTTAGTCGTGGCCTGTTTGGCAGCTTGTAGCCTCAAGGTTAGTTTCATAACAACTAAAGTTATGACTTAAATAAAGCTCACAAAGCTTGAACAATTATCATATTACAAGTTGGTTTATAAAATTGAATTAGACTTTATGCTCAAATTCTAAGATGGTATACAAGTCTATCTTAGATTCGTTTTATTGAACCACCTAATTCATATTCAAAACCCAACAATGTTGAGGGTGAACGGGTATATTAGGAAATATTCAAGTTCTAGATTAAGTAAAAATAAGTGGGGACCAACCCTCACCTTATGAATTAGTTTTTGGGTTGAGTTAAATTTAAATCCAAAATCTAAACGGAAGTAACATTAAACCACATGATCCAATTCAAAAGAGACAATAAAGCATTCATTCAAAATATAAGTAATTTTAACTAATAAATAAAAATTCACAATAATACTTTTGCAATAACACATGCCTGTGCCAAAGGTGATACTCGGGGACTAATCCCTCCTTCACGCTCCATTTGTGCTAACGTACAAGCTATTCTGAGCTCCCTGGAAACAGCACAAATATCATTAAAATGCTCCATCCATTTCTGTTACAAAGAAACTTCAAGAAAGAAAAATAGCACTATCACTTTAATGTTTCTCCACCAAGAATAGCTGCTAAAAATAAGCCATCAGGCTTCAATGCCAATCTAGACTGCAAAACATTAAAAAAAATCAGATAATAAAAAGTAATATTAAAACTGACATTTAGATAACATAAACACACATGATTGCACATTGAAGTTTTCTCTGTATTGACAAAAAGCAAATATTCAAACATTATTGACAATTATAATTCAGTTATAACCCAGATTAGCATAAATTACAGTTAGTTCCTTAACAACGAAAGAGGCTTTAACTAAATGTTTTCAATTTCTTCTTTTATTCATAATCATTTGAAGATTTTGGTGAATGTACACACAGTTGAGCACAAAAGAGATGCCCTTGTTCAGTGTTACAGACCCATCATCATGACTTTTTTCAACCAGAAACAGAAGAACTTGAAAAATGCTAGGAAATATATGCTTTCTTTAATCAGCACTAGATTCAGAACATCGCCACCTAATTGAAATTTGTGAAAGTCTAGTTCTAGCACATGCCACTTAAGGCACTTTAATGTGGCATAAACCTGACCCTGTCCCATACATGTCTATGATGTGACCACACTCTACATGTGAATAGTAGGTAATGTGAGAAGGGCTGCTATTAGAAGTCTCACATTAGACTTTACTGCTTGATGTGGTACTTAAGCCTTGAGATTCTCTCATCTAATGGACTAGCCTTTTGGGTCGGGTTCTTCTCTTGTGCTTAAGTCATAACAATTGGTGTTTTCATTAAGAGTTGGACTATAGAAAGGACTACCTATAAGCTGGTTTAAGGTGCAAACCGAATACAAATAGGTTAGTGAAGCCATCAAAGAGAAAAGGGTTACTCGGTCAGTGTTGACTGAGTTAAATTTGCAATGGATGTTGGACCTTAAAAGACAATGTTAGAAGTCTCATGTTGGTTAGATTCTACTACCTGATGCGGTATTTAAGCCTTGAGGCTATCCCACCCAATAAACTAACCTTTTGGGTTAGACTCCCCTCTAGTGCTTAAGTCCTTAATATAAACTAACTAGATGGGAGCACTAGGTGCCTAAACGCCTACTCACTGGTAATGCTTTAATACTCTTTCTACAAACATTACATCGATCCATACTAAGTGTATGTCGATGTCTTCACATGTCATCTATTCTTGTGGGTGTTATATTTGTAGCATCAAAAGAGTAATGAATTAGCTTATTACTCTTGACTTCAGCATGGATCAGTCTTTTGCCACTCAAGTCAGCGCAACTTAACTATTAGAACTCCTAGGCCTTATCATGGTCCATTATAACTAGATTACATTTGATACGTTTAATACATGCTATGCTATGAAATCATTTCCTCATATCAGTTTTATTAGTTGCTCTGGGTATCATTTAACACTGGGTATTATTATGACCAAATTACCCCGGGAACGCAAAAATTGGCGTTGAAGCATATAAGCATGTAACTGTATGAAAAAGAGCACTCTTGAGTTTCCCTATATAACTAACATCTGACATTTTAGTAGAAATGGCAAGAATGACTTGACTCTACTTATAAAGAAACAAGATGCAAGTTAGAGGTTAACTCATCGGAGGGCCTTCAAGTGACAGTCAGAGTCTGCAGTTTATTTATCAATTAAGATTCCATAACTATTTGGTATTTATCAACATGTATTTCTGTTAAAAAATGGTCAACCAATCAGTCTAATATCTAAGCAAGATGAAAAGTCTATAAATTGATAAGTATGCTTCAGATATAATCTTAATCTTGGTCTTCACAAAAGAATTTAACCAGGTTGATCAAGTATGCTCCTTAACAAGGTCCATCAATCAATCTGCATATAACCTCATTTTATCGCTGATCATCTTTCATATCATCTCCCTCATACTCATTACTATAGCCCTCTCGTATATTCTGTTCCTTTTCTATGCCATGTACTCAGGTTCTGCAGTCTCTTCCCCCCCCCCCCCCTTCTCTTTTTTCAATTTTCTAATTTAAAGTTTTCCTCAAAACTTTAGTGATCAAGATTATAAAAATTCCCAGTAGCTACTTGTTAAAGATATGATTTGATTATGTTAAATAGGGAAATATGATATGATTTGGTTCCAAGCAATGCTTTTCAGACTACTCAACTACAGTACTGCATGAACCTTTATAAATCGTTTTCTTTCCACACAATATACAAGTCTCAAACATTTTAAATAGTCAGTATTGTAGATATAAACAATGTTCCAATCAGTTTGCTGTCACTTGATGCTCTTGCTGTAAACATTACCCCTTTGTTGGACACACCATTACAAAGAACAAACTCAAACACAAACGAAGCCAAAAACAAGAGAAATAAACACCTGTATCATTGCTCCAGGAAGATCATTAGTCCAGTGTAGTCCCAAGCAACTGACAACCAAATCCACAGAGCTGCAAACCATACAACAATAACAATAATAATTTAAAAAATCAAAAACAGAAAACCGTAACACGAATAAATAGGATAAATGACCAATTCAGTAATGTGTGAGACACGATCAATTTAGTCATTGAAAAAAGAATCAAAAGTTACAATTACCTCTCTTTGATAGGCAGGAACTCTTCGTCAGCAACCAGAAATTGGGTCTGGACGGCATTGCCGGGTGAAGGACGGTAAGCATTTTTACAAGCTTGAACCATATCAAAGGAGGCATCCATGACAAAAAGCTTTTCCACGCCACCTGAGATTAAGCAATGAATAAATGAATGAACGAACGAATGATGAACGAATGAAGCATAAGGGCTTGCTAGATAGTTACCGTTAGCAGGAGGAGAGGAGAGAGAGCGAGTGATGAGTTGCAAGGAGCCTCCCAAACATAAGGCGGTAGGAAAGGTCTTCTTACAGTCCTGAAGAAAGAGAATATGAATTGGAATTGAAATTGAAATTGAATTGGAAAGAGAATGTGACCTAACCTGCAAGCGATCCAAGAGGTTTTGAGCGACGGAGTGAAGGAGAGGGTCGTGTGCGGGCGTGCACCATGCGGCTCGGTCGCGTTGTGCGCGCTTCCGTTGGCGATCGAAGATTTGGAGCTTCGAGGTGGAAGTGGAGAATTGCTTCCGCCAAAGGGACACTGCTCTCATCTTCTCAACTCACCTAAATTCTTCCAAAACACAACTCGCACATTTTCAGTTGAGAAGAATCACTCCAAGGTATACGCTGTTTCTCTTTTGCTTCATTTTTTTTTTAATTATTATTTCTTACAGAATAATTATGAAGCTGCACTTGTTTTTGTAATTGAATTCAGTTCCAAGAACACACATTGGTCATGAGTATGCTTATGCTGCAGGGAAGGATCCTAAAATTTTGCTTGTTTTTCATTTGTTTCAATTCTGTCGTTTAAACCTACGACTGGTTTGGTGACCATTTGTAAATGTCTATAGTGTCTTACACTAAATATGGGTACTATTTTTCCAAATTTTTATACAACCATTAATGCAATAAAAGGAAGAAAGAAAACTAATATTATAAATAATCACTTGAACGTAACAAGAAACTATAATACAACCTATTGCTTTTCAATATAGAACGGAAAATCTTAGGTTAGGATATTAATTTTACTGTTTAATCCTTTTAAAAGGTAAAATGAAAGCAGCAATGACATGGCATTTGTTAAAACATGTTTTAGGGGCGTGGGACAGAAGTTGGGTTTGGGAAAAAGCAGCAAAAACATGTCGTTGTTCTCGGTTCACCACTCTCCCTCCACTCTTCCACTGTTCTTCTCCACACCTTCAACCTCAACCTTATGTAGAAGCAGTAATGACATCACAATTAAGACCATTCAATGCAGGAACAGGATTCGGACAACGCAGAGACTCAGAATCGTTGCAAAGTCAAAATCAAATGCATCCTCATCCACACCCACCTCCCTTCTTTCTTTTCTCTGTCCCTTACTCACCCTCTTCTCTGTATGCTCACTGATTCACTTTCCCTATGCTTCTCTCTACCAATTCAAATTTCAATTTCCATTTCTTATAAAGATGTTTCGTTTCTCATGCACTCTCTTCTTTCTTTATCCCTTCTGCCAGGCAAGGGATCCTTCTCAACCACGCAATTTCACTTTCGAGGTGTTTCATTCCCCTTCTTTTTCTAATCTTTAGTTTATATAATTACACCTTCTGCATCAACCTTATATCTGACTCACCTTCAACTTTTTATGATGAATGGTAGCTAGCGTCGTCTTCCTTGGCTAGCTTATCAAGGTTTGCATGGGGACAAAAATCCATTTCTGAGAGTTCACTCAACCAAGAAATCACTTCCGAACTTCCTTTTAGTTTACAGCTTTTTGAATTCGGTACGCCTCTTCCACTTTAGACAGGTTTAGGAAGAACCCTTCAGGATGCTATTGCTGTTGTTAGTCATAGGCAAGCATATTTTTCTTCTTTGACTTCATTATTGAAATTTATTAACATTCCAGAAGTTTCGTGTATTACTACTATATTATCATTACTATTGCTATACATCAATCCTGGCCTCAATGTTAATAACACTATGCCCAGATAAAAGTAGTTCCTTATTCTTATCCTCAACTGGACCTTCATACTAGGATTCTCAAACATGTTTTGGTTATTGACCTCTAACATATTGCCGTAATTTTATTATATCGTTGAATTTTGTGATTGTCCCATCTTAATTCTCTTAAAAAATATTTTTTAACAGAGGCATGCCCCTTTTGTAGAAGGGTCCGGGAGGCTTTGACTGAACTAGATCTTTCTCTAGAGGTTAGCTGTCAATGCTTCACACACATTACTTACCACATTCAATGTCCAATGCTCCGTTCCCTTGTCTGAGTTTTGTCTGTTTCAATGGAGTGCTATTTTTTGTCGCCAATAAGGTATGCTCCTAGAAGTTTGGGGTCTGTGCTTACTCTCTACCGTAGTTGAGTTTAATGTGTTAGCTAACTTTTCAACAAAGTAATCCTTGTCCTATAAACTCTAGTTGGACTAGTGATATCAAACAAATCCCAGCAAGTAAGATTTCTTTTTATTTTTTTGGTGGCCGGGGGGTATCAATATAGATTGATTAAAGACATTTCTATTGTCAAAATAGATTAAATGAATGATCGAAATTATAGGCTCCATACTTCAACTTTTGTACACCACACAAGTTTTTTTAAAATGCTGAATTACATGAAAGTGCTGAATGGCAGTATAGCTCAAATTGGCTTGGATGATGAATTTGCCAAAATAAACAGAAGAACTTTGCTAAAGTTCAAGGGAAAAGATTTTAACTTGTATGAAAATGAATGTTAATCATTCAATGATATACTCATATATGACAAGAGATGATGAGAAATTGATTATGATTGATTTATTGAATCGGTTTCCCTAATATTACTCTTGTCGGTGTCACCAATAGGTCTATCCTTGTCCTAAGGGTTCTGTAAGACACAGAGAGTTGGTCAGAAGAACCGGTGGCAAAGAACAGTATGTAGTACTCCATCATATATATATATTATCTGTATGTTTTTTTGCAGTATTATAGAACTTTCAAAAATTTAGAATCAGTTTTTGGGGTATCATATCTCAATTCTATCAGTATTTATACTTGTTTCATTATATATGCTGTTTTATCCCGATGAAGCAATTGCTGCAAGACCTGTATTTCATTTTCTTTTACATTTTTGTTTTTTATTTGTATTTTGCAACATATTTAATGCTAGTGAAATAGTTTGATGTTGTCCTTATCTTTTCAAATATTATCTCTATCGAAAATATGATGCAAAGCTGTTCTTTTGCAGGTTTCCTTTCCTCATTGATAAAAAGAATGGTATTTCTATGTATGAAAGTGGTAAGCAAGCAAGTTTCTCCCTGCTTTTCTCCAAATGGTTGCTGATTATCTTGGTTTGTAGAAATCACATGAACAACCACCATTGTCATAGTTGTTTACTGGTTTGGATTGATTCATGTTAACGGTTTATTACCCTGCTTTGCATTTTTTACCTATACTTCCATTTTCGTCTGTTTCATTTCTGTTAGTAGAGGATTAGCTAGTTCAATTTTAAATCCTTTGAATGTTTTGAACTGACTAATTTTAATGAGTTCTCATTTAATTTAGTAGATGCAATTATAGTCTAAATTCCAGTCTCTAAACTAATGCTGATTGTCTGTGTTTCTCTCTTCAATTTTTCTATTGGTTTCTTGCTGTAGGTGATATTGTAAAATACTTGTTTGAACAATATGGAGAAGGAAGAAGTCCATCATTGGGACTTTTGGAGAGGTATTAGATGCAAAACACTGTTTTCATGAACATGTAAAATATTTTTCATCACATCTTAGGAAGGAAAAGTCAATTTCCATCTTCACCATACAAAATTGCTGCATTAATTGGTTAGGTGGAAAGGAGCAATTATACTGTAAAATATTTTCATGAAAGCATATTAGCATTTAAATAATCAGTATATTATGTCCCTGACACAAATAGATGGGGTGACTCAAAGTGATTGTTAAGGAGCCTACTTTGTGAGTCTTATGACAAAGAGATGACACCACTAACTAAAGAGTGTCTGCTGATGGTTGTTCCATATTCTATAATTTGGACGAAAAGAGACTTTCAAATGAATTTGTTCTTTACAACCCATTCCTGTGCAGCACTATTTTTACTGGATGGATGCCAACAATACTTCGAGCAGGCAGAGGAATGACACGGTGGGTTTATTCCAGGCCTGACCCTGCTCCAGGAAAGTTGGAGCTCTTCTCATATGAAAATAACCCTGTAAGATAATGCTTTTCTCTCTCCAATTTGTCAATCAACTTATTGTTGGAAAATTTAAGTGGGAGTCTTGAGTAATCATGAGAAAGTTGAATAATATATAAGAAAGAAAAATTCATAACCTAATATCTTAGATTTTAAGTTGAAGGTGGTATCAACCTTTACGTGAATGAATTTATGTCTCTTGTTTCTTTTTAATGAATCCCCTCGACAAGGTCAATACCTACTTTCAATTTTCAGTTGGCTCAAATTGAAATGGGAAAAGAGAATCAGATATATTTTCTACTTGGTATTTTTCATTTAATCTTGATTGGAAGATGACATTCACATAATATGCGGAAACTATTGGTGTGTGTTCACTGAGGTTAATTTTAGGATCATAGCAGGAACTGGAATCATGTCTTGTCCTGTCATCATACACATATTATTTCTAAATGTGATATATATATATATATCTTCTACAACATAGATTTAATATTTCATTTTTCAGAATGCTCGAATAGTCCGTGAGGCATTATGCGAATTGGAACTTCCTTACGTTCTTCAGAATGTGGGAGAAGGGTCTCGTCGAATGAAGTTACTCTTGGATGTTTCTGGATCTAAAGAGGTTAGAATTTTGTGCAACATACAAAACTGCATCAAAGTTTTATTAAAATGAATTTTCCTGTGCAGGTTCCTTACTTTATTGATCACAACGCTGGATTTCAATCTGGAGACTGCGCAACAATCTTATCGTATTTGTTCGAAACCTATTCAACAATTATTTTATAACTTCCACTTTCTGTAAATGAAAACTTTTGAGGTTTTAAATCACTACAGTGGCTTTGTGTTATGAACAAAGCCTGGGTATACTGTCTTTTGTAATTTTTATTATTATTTTTTTTTTTGCACACTTGGTTGTTCAAATAAGATATTATTATCGTGTAATATATTTTTTAAGCATCTCACTGAATAAAATTATATTTGTATAGTATGTTTTCAATTAATATTCTTTTAATACTATTAAAAAGGTAAAAATTGTTCAGAAATAAAATATATTATTTTAATATCATTTTCATAATTAAAGTTTTTTTAAATAACGGATAATTGATTAGAATTGATTATTACAATTGCGAGAAACAACTCTAACTTTACATCTTTAATAAAACAATTCATATAAATATATTTTTATTTTAAAAATATAAAATATAAATACAAGGTATTTGTTATTAGTAAATATACACTAATTACATTAAAGTCAATGTTAATAATTACATACTAATAAATAATTATTTTAATGTATATACAGTTTTGCTGGTTAGTAGTTCTATTTTGATTCACATCTATTAGTTTTGTAGATTTCTTACTGACCAAATATTTAGAAAATGTTTCCGATTTACTACTAAAATAAAGCACAAAGCTTTATAAAGTGCCAAATGTAATGTAAATTCTTCCCAAATGTGTATGTTAAGCATGAAGATGTGGACACAATAATAAAACACAGACAACTTATAATCAATCTACTGATAAGAAACATGAAGTTTTATCTGAACAGTGAGACATGAGATCCTTCTGAGGTGGCATTTCGTTTTTTTCAAACATCAACTGTTGAACCAGACTTGAGTTCTACCAACTCTAACAAATATTTAAGCACCCGAAGATACCTTGCTGGTAGCTCTTTAGTCAAAATCATGGGGTCCTTATTTCTTCCTCTTTACCTGCTTCATACAACTAATGCATGTTTCTAAATCATGACAAACATCGATAACCATCATTTCTGTCACTTTTTTTAATATTAATATATATTTACATTTATCCATCTATCAGTTCTCAAAGATACCATGTCAATGTGACCCCAACAACATCACAACAAACGGTAGGTGATCTCACCGAATCAATGTTTGCCACCTCCACTCTAAATTGACCATAAATCTTGTGCACAAACTGTTTCTTTTTCTCGTTCTTTTTTTTAATATCACCTTGACTTCACTTTACTCTCAAGCAAATTCAGAATTTCTCAACACAACTTTTGCCCCATAAATGTGCAAATTCTTGTTCAGGTGAAACTGGTGCCCTCCTTCAATTACGATCTGATCACCCTCTGTCCATCTTTTTTGCTCCTGAGAAAGATTTTAGCTTTCTCAATCACCCAACCATGAGGTCTAAAACCCAGTTCACATGCAGCCTCAAGGTAGCCATTCTCTGCATTGCCTTTGTCTGCCTCTTCATCTTGCTATTCCGGTCATCCATATTCTCTCTTTCTCCCCAACTCACCCCACAAAGCAACTGGCCAAACCCGAACGAAAAAGCAGTAGAAGAACCTCACCCCACAACAGAAACAGCAGAAACTGCAGCCACACCATCATCATGCCCTCCAATCCCTTTGAACCCCACATGCAACAAGGCCCCTCCATCTTTATCCAATGCTCTCATCCACTATGCCACCACCAACATCACCCCTCAGCAGACTCTCCGTGAGATCTCCGTCTCAGCAAGGGTCCTTCAGAAGAAGTCACCCTGCAACTTCCTTGTGTTTGGCCTAGGCCATGACAGCCTCATGTGGACATCACTCAACTACGGTGGCCGCACGGTCTTCCTTGAGGAGGACAAGTCTTGGATCCACCAAATCCAACAGAAGATACCCTCTTTGGAGGCCTATCATGTGATGTATGACACACAGGTTAACCAGGCTGATGAGCTCTTGAAGGTTGGAATGGAAGCAGATTGCAAAAAAGTGAGTGACCCAAGATTTTCTCAGTGCCAACTAGCACACAAGGGGTTCCCAAGTGAGGTTTATGACATAGATTGGGATGTGATCATGGTGGATGCCCCCACAGGTTACTTTGAAGGGGCACCAGGGAGGATGAGTGCAATCTACACTTCAGGGTTGATTGCTAGGAACAAAGGGCACGGTGAAACTGATGTATTTGTGCATGATGTGGATAGGGAGGTGGAGGACAAGTTCTCAAAGGCTTTTCTCTGTGAAGGGTATCTGAAGGAACAAGAAGGGAGGATCAGACACTTCAACATTCCAAGCCACCGGTCTCGTTTGTGGAGGCCATTTTGCCCTCAGTAGTTCACGCAACACACCAATTTGTCCCCTTTACATGAGCCATTTATATTTACTACATGAATGATTGTCAAGGAAACTAATACAATCTCCACCACTATATTCTGTGTTGAGTGAACTCATTTTTTGCCATTGATTCTGATTTATATACAATTCTGTTGTTTATTTTTGGCATTGATTCTGGTTTATATACAACTCATTAATTGATGGCTCTCGAGATGATGAAGTGGCTTGGCATACTCTCTATTTCATTCAAAAGTCTCCTATTATTGTTATTCCAGAAAAAAATGCAGAAATTGAAGATCATTCTTCAAATTTAGTTAGTTTTTTTAATTTTGTGTACACATACAAAATAAGCCATGGATAATAATAATTTGATTTAACTTTGTTTTTATAAATAATTTTAAATATTAATTTTGAATAACTGTTTTATAGAATAAATGAAAAACAACTTGTTTTTTACAAATGAAGGACGACAAAAACTTGCTATCGAAATTGGAGTACCATTTTTTATGGCAAAAATGAAGGATGTGTCGCAGTCCAGGGATAAATACCATTGCCTATCTGGATGCATATGTAAAATATTTTTTTTTCAATTAAAATTGAAAAAAAAAAGTGCCAAAAAAAAAGTTAAACGTGAGAAAAAAAACATTGTTGCAAAAATAAGCGTAAAAATGTGTAAGTTATTTTTCTTTCATTGAGAAATGAGTTTCTTAATGGAGTCAAAGTTATTTTCTAAGAAACTATTTATCAATACTTTTTTTTTCACATCATTTTATCACTTTTATTCTAAATTACATAATTTATTTTTATCAACATATTATTATTAGTGAAAAATATTTATTAGTTTTTTTTATATTATGATCACTTTTTTTTAAGAAGGAACTTTATTTACATATAAAGTTATGTTTATTTTTTTTTAAGAAGAACCTAAACCAAAATTTTAGACCTATTTCGTTTGTAAAGAAAATAAGTTGATTTTGTGAAATAATTAATGTGAATTGAACATGTTTTTAGAAATGTTACTAGGAATTGTTTTGGAATTTTTGTCTATTACGATTTTATTCTAAAAAGTTAGTAGATTGAGGGAATGATGAGAGATATATATAAATTATCTATAATCTTGATTCCTAGACAAGATGAGACTTGTGAGCGAAACATAAGCTCCTAATCAAAAACTAAGAGATAAAAGGTATATATAAGTGAAACGAGAGGATGTAATAAGATTAGAGATCATATTCCAAACTCCGACTTCGCTTTAAGGATATTGAATAACTTCCTTTGAAAAGTATAAAGGTTTATCTACAAAAGATACTCCGAACTGATGCTCAAGTCAACATATAAAGAGAGTAATACATTTGAAAATGAATGATAAGATAAGATTTATTTCCTGACTAAGATTCTTTATATAAGACTAATAATAATATAAAAAAATATAATAACTCACAATCTATATAACTTATAGCTCAAAAGATAATAACTTTTATAAGATATTATAATAAATAAAAAATAATTAAATAAATAGAGTGTTTGAATGGATTTGAGTGGATAATACAAGAAATAAGATTTATTTCTTCATATTTTTTTATTGAAAAAAAAGAGAGGGATACGAAAAGGAAAATGTGGGTGCGAATAGAAGGGCAGTGCTTGTAATGGGGAAGGCGGAAGTCCAAATAGACTAATGGGCTTATTAGGCCCAGGAATGAGAGTAATAAGAAGAAAAAGGAGAAGAGGGTATTTGAGAACAGAGATGGTGGTGCTGTGACACATTCACATAAACAACACACTCTCATAAATCATATCAGAGAAAAAGAGAAAGAGAAAGATGGCGGAATACGATGAAAGATACGAAGGCAACGGGGAAGAAGAAGACCTTCACAATTCCCATCCTCACCCTCATGCAGATTCCTCTCCACCGCCTACCCACGACGATCTCACCGACTCCAAATCTCATGTATGTTTTCTCTCCATCTGCTTCATCAATTCATTATTCTTCCCCTTCTCTCTCTTTGTTTTTTTCCTCTATGTCTGGCTTGTTTTGATTTCATGCGCAATTAGGGTTTTTTCGTTCTTTCTCTCTTTATCCAAACTGGGGTTTCGGGACAGGGTTTTTCTATTTCTCATCGTCTTCTGAATCTTAACACCACAAACCATATATCTTCCTTTTCTATTCACTGTTTCGTACGAGACTTACTAGACCTGTGTTGCTTATGGCGAGATTCGAGGTTGGATTTTGTTTTGTGTTTTTCCCCCTTTTTGTGATTCTTGCTTCACTTTGTAATTAGAGATGATTAGGTTTTGGTAAGGTTTGTGCTGTCGGAACCATGATGCTGTACCTTTTCTTCCCAAGCTATCACTGAAATGTTGATGCTTTGCCGTGATTTTATGTGGTTTTTTCGCATGTTTCTTTTACTTGTTAGTAAATTAATAAAATGGGACTTTGGATTAGGCTGCTTTTCGGGTATTTTATGTGTGATTGGGATTCATGCATTGCAGGTTGTTTTGTGAAATTGGCATGTGTGCGTGTTTTTGGTTCTTATGTATGCTGATTGTGAAGTATATTGTTCCAACTATAAAATTTTTTTGTAACCTTCCTTTCAAATGCATCATTATTTAGTTTGAAGATATGGGTTTGTTTACACCTCCCTGTTAAACGTTTGATTGTCTTTTGGCAGCATGGATCTCGCGATTATGACAGAGAATCTTCAAGAAGCAGAGACAAGGAGCGGGAGAAAGGGAGAGACCGGGAGAGAAAGAGGGAAAAGGGGAGGGATAGGGAAAGGGAGAGAAGTAGGGATATGGATTCGGAGAGGAGCAGGGACAAGGACAGAGATAGGGAGAGAAGCAAAGATAGGGAGAGGGACCGAGAGCGTGATGGTGAGAAGGAAAGGGACCGTGACAGGGAACGCCACCATAGAGATCGACACAGGGATCGTGGTGAACGAAGGGAAAGGACGAGGGATAGAGATGAAGAGGAATTTTACAGAAGTCGTGACTATGACAGGTAAAATTTTGTTTGGGATATTACTGCCTTGTATCCGAGTTCTAGCTTGAGGATTTTCATCAGCATCTGCGTTTCAGTAGATTTTCTTACATGCAATGTATTGTATTATATTTGAACTCATATTTAGCTACATTTTTATATTCAATAGGTTTTTTCATATTCTTTTTCAATTCTTATCTGACATTATTTGATACTACAGAAGAAGGGATTATGATAGAGAGGATAGGCATAGGCGCAGGTCTCGGTCTAGATCTCAATCCCCATCAGCGGGTAAATCTGAACATAGATCAAGGTCGCGTTCTCGTTCACGCTCAAAGAGGTAAATCCTGGAAAGATCCTTAACATACAGTATGTGGATGTCTGCTAACATGTCATTTATGTGAATGCCATTTCTGAATTATGTCTTGGTTTATAAAATAGAATAAAGTACAATTAAAAAATTGTGGATGTGCAAGTGAAACTACTATAATGTTGTGAATACATGTCGAAGATTGACATAATTTAGATAGATAATTAGAAGTCCATTTTAATTCAGTTCTGATACACCCCTATTAATTTAAATCTGTGAAAATAATACAATTGGGTAATCTTAAAATGGCCAAATGATAGGTAACCTTTATCATTATTTATAATTTTATATGCGGTAGGGCACCCTTGCAGTTCATTCATCATTTCGAAATCTCCTGTTTTAAGAATTTTATTAGATGTGGCTAAATTTTTAAATTATTGATTGATACGTGTTCTTGTTTTGAAAAAAAGCATTCATTATTGAAATAACTAATTTAATTTACTTACAGCAAAAGGACTAGTGGTTTTGATATGGCTCCCCCTGCCTCTGCTATGTTGGCTGGTGCTTCTGCTGTTACAGGTACATTTCCCCATGTATATATTATGAAATTTCTCATCTTAACTGTTTTTTCTTTTTGTTTGTCCTAGTATGGAAAATTCATATCAAATTGCATGGTGTTAACTTGGTAAGCTTTGTTCAGTTACTATCTGAGTATATATAGCCTTTGAGGACTGGTTTCCCATGGTGTGTAATTTTGTCTTTCTTTTTACTTAGCGATATAATTCTGGAACTAAAAGATGCTTTGGTTTTTGTCTTGTGTTTGGTGTTTGTTTGTTTTGTTTCTATGTCTTGTCATATGTTCTAAGAAGGCAATGTTGGGCTACTAGCCCCACTGTGCTGACAATGGGCGTGAGCCGACATCTGTAGCTTTTATATCCACGGAGGAATCAATGCACCTGTTTTTGGTGGGTCTTGTTCGTCTTCAACTGGAAACTATTACCTACTTTGGTAGACACAAATATTATCTCTAAAGCTTGTTTACAATGCTCCTTTAATATTATTGATACAATATATGCCACAAGCTTTAATTATGCTTAAAGCTCATGCCAATCAGAGTAATGGGAGGCATTTGATTCTTATGTACAATGATTGCAAAATGTGAAAACAGTGAGCTTGTTCTGAGATGCAATATTCCTTTATTTGCAGGCCAGATCACTGGTGCAAATCCCACAATTCCTGGAATGTTTCCAAATATGTTTCCATTGGCTACTAGCCAGGTATTTTTTGATTCCTTTTTCCCAGTTCTCGTTATGTAATTTAATGTTTTATATTAATTTCACTTTATTCTTGTTTTTTATTTTTTAAGTTGCAGCCGTTTAGTGCTCTCCCAGTCATGCCAGTTCAGGCCATGACACAGCAGGTAAAAGTTCTTTTCAGTGAGGTGAAGCTACTTTGTTTACTCATTATTACGACTTTCCCTGATTATGTCCTGTCTTTGATGTACTGAATTTACAGGCTACACGACATGCTAGGCGGGTGTATGTTGGAGGCCTTCCTCCTACTGCTAATGAGCAGGTGATAAAAATATCATAATTTTTGACTCAGAATGGTTATATTGGTTTGTCTATCTGTTAAATTTCTTGTTTTACTTGTTTCATTGTTGACAACCTTGTTATCTCTTACCACATTATATTTACTTCAGATGCTTGTAATCTTTGAGTTGAGGAAACATACTAATATGTTTCATTCCCACTATATCAATGGAGAACTATTGTATATGTATTTTAACTGGATGTGACAATTTAGCTGATGTTTCTGTTCTACTGCAGTCAGTTGCAACTTTCTTCAGTCAAGTTATGGCTAAGATTGGGGGAAATACTGCTGGCCCAGGTACATAATAAACTTGAATTAATTGTGCCTGTTTGTTGACATTACAATGTGGCTAATTGATTTAATTTGTGTGCAGGTGATGCTGTGGTCAATGTTTACATTAACCATGACAAGAAGTTTGCTTTTGTGGAGATGAGGTCGGTTGAGGAAGCTAGCAATGCAATGGCTTTAGATGGGATTATTTTCGAGGTATCTTTTTGTTTGTCATCAGAAGCTTGGATTCCTTTTTCTCATGTTGTTGTGCAAGAAAAATGAGTATATCCAAATTTCTCTCATGGGTGCTAATCCAAATTTCTTTTTTTGTTCAGGGGGCACCTGTTAAGGTTAGGAGACCGACTGATTATAATCCTTCCTTAGCTGCTACCCTAGGTCCAAGCCAGCCTAACCCAAACCTTAATCTGGCTGCTGTTGGCTTAACACCTGGGTCTGCTGGTGGACTCGATGGTCCAGATCGGATTTTTGTTGGTGGACTTCCTTACTACTTCACAGAAACACAGATCAGAGAGCTTTTAGAGACTTTTGGTCCTCTAAGAGGTTTTGATCTAGTGAAAGATAGAGAAACGGGTAACTCAAAGGGATATGCATTTTGTGTCTACCAGGATCTTGCAGTTACTGATATTGCATGTGCTGCTCTAAATGGAATAAAAATGGGAGATAAGACTCTCACGGTTAGACGAGCTAATCAAGGTGCAAATCCACAGCAGCCTAAACCTGAACAAGAGAGCATTTTAATGCATGCACAGCAGCAGATTGCACTACAGGTTTGATGGAGATGTTCCTTAAAATGTTTTTGTTGCCAGGATCTACCGTGCATGTGTTAAAATTCTAACTGCTCGGTTCTTTTTTTGTAGAAACTTATGTTGCAGCCAGCCTTAGTGGCAACAAAGGTGGTATGCTTAACTCATGCAGTTTCTGCTGACGAGCTCAAAGACGATGAAGACTATGAAGAGATTCTTGAAGATATGAGACAGGAGTGTTCCAAATTTGGTAATATTGGATTTATTATGCTTGTCTATCGCTCTGAACGACAAGACATTCATATTAATTTTCTGTCCTATTTGTTTTACAGCCATTTCTAGTCCCACATTCTCATAGAGAATCAGGCCTAACTTACAGACTGAAGTCTCCATAACCCTCTTTGTCCTCGCATGATTTGTTCATTGCATGCCTATGAAAATTCTATTGCATAGTTCACTGTTTTGTTTTCACTTTATGCAGGTTCTTTGGTGAATGTGGTGATCCCGCGTCCACCACCTGACGGTGAACCTGCCCCTGGAGTTGGAAAGGTGTGATATTGACCTATCATGGAAATTTAGTCATATATACTTTTAGTTTTTTTTTTTTTCAGTAAGAGAAATTAAGAACAGAGATTTTGTTCAATTCCCTCCTTCCCTAATACTGGTTTGGTTTAGCTGTAGAAACAAAATAATAATGCGAGGGACTGAGGATCAACCATAAGTTACTGTTTGAAAATTAGTATTACAATTAAAACTATATTTGCTCACCAAAGCTGGACTCCTTTTGGTGTATATATGCTATAAACTCTAACGTAATTTTGTATTTGCAGGTGTTTTTGGAGTATGTTGACGTGGATGGTGCTACAAAAGCTCGTGCTGGATTGAATGGACGGAAATTTGATGGGAACCAAGTAGTAGCTGTTTTCTATCCAGAAAACAAATTTGCTCAGGGAGATTATGAAGGCTAATCGGGTTTTATTTTGGATTTTATCTTGTTTAGAGATTTCTTGGTAAGGATTATATTTTGTATTATCATAAACTGTAAGCTAGAGATGTGGTCATAGTACAGAAACTGTTCTATTTAGATGCGAGTAGTAAGAAAAGTGATGATGGATAATTTGTTAAATAGTTTTTCCTGTCTACATGGATCTCTTTGGCCCCTTAAGAAATTCTTTATTTGCATGAAGTGGATTTCTGCATTTGTCATATTAAAGCTTGTTGCTGCTTATCCTTATTCTTCCATCACGCAATGTTACTGAAATAGACCATCAACTTGTAGCGACCTTTCAATTCATCATAACTTGTGGAGGTTTATGTGTCTCTGGTTGAGAACCGTTGAGGTTCATAGGGTGGTGGTTCTTGTCATTGTCGGAAGGCGGTGAGAGGGAAACAAGAGTTGAAAATTAATAATATAATTAATATACCATTTCTTTATTTAATTCTATTTAAGATTATTATTCTTAATATTTTAATTTATTTAAAATTTTAAATATCTAGAGATGGTATTAATACTTATTTATATGCGTTGGTCTCTTTGGAAGATACTCATTAATAATTACTTTAACTATATATAAAATAAACCTTTAACCTATACAATACGCATGCTACAATACTAGTATAATAGAAAAGAAATATTATCAATACGATGTAATTATTAGATAACCTAGTCCCTTAGATATGTGACTGATTTTTGTGTTGGTGTATAAAAATCATGCTGGAAGAGGTTTTATAAATGAATTTTAAATAAAAAGATTATATCATGTGTACTGAGTAACACATTGGCAGAAGTTTTGGTTCTTACAAATTGGTGGGAAGCTTCTTTTAAAATACATAAAAATAGAACTGACTTGATTACATTTTAGTTATTTCACTTTTATAAAATCTGACACAAATGAAAACTAATAAATATATATTTGTCTCACTAAAAAGTGACACTGTGTTACTTCAGCTCATGAAATTGTGTGCATTCTACAGTTTAATTCTCAAATGAGATACACTGAACCATTTAGGAAAAAATAACTCAAACAACCGTTATTTATCATTAGGTATAGTTGTCATTGTGTAAAAGTAAGTCCTCAAAGAATCTTTATTCTTCTCATATACGTTTACTTCATACTAAACCAGTCTCTGTCTATCCAACGACTTCATAACAATTTAGTGTCTGCTTTTGTCAAAATCGTGGCAAACTCTGTCTTTGCATTTTTGTTAATTTCGTGATGAAAAAACCATTTTGTCGTGAACTAAGACTTTCAGAGATTTTGCGACTAAATTTATGTACATAATTTTTGTTTTGCTAAGTGTATCTTCTACTAGAGTCAAGAGATTATTATTATTCACAATTAAAAATATTAAGTAATGTTATCAATGTAATAGTCTATTGGCTCTAAAAGGAAAATGAAAACTACCCTCTTTTAAAATTGTGATAGATTTTGGATTGCCACAATAGTTATCAATTGATTATGGTGCAAGATCGAATTTTAGAATGGCAGAAATGTAATGCTAAATTTTGTTATAAAACAACAACTTACACGTTGCAACTACTTCATAATTAACTTTGCAAAAAAAAAAAAGGAATGTGTATACCTCTTGGTAACTGTGACTCATGGATTTGTTGAAAGGTGTCTAGTATGTTCCAGTAAGTATGTGGATGAGATCCAGTTGTTGGTCACGAGATGAAGCTCCATTCACCGATTTTAAAGGAAGTCTCATAGCATATGACGTTAACTCCATAAATACTCTATCAAAAAGCATCTTCTCTCATTGTCTCACTTACCCAACCAATTATCAAATAAACCAAGACTAGACCTATCACATGAGTGTCATAAATATGGTCACACAACTATGTCTAAGAAGGAGAATATAAGAATGCATGTCCATAACAGCCATTTTTGTCTCAGAAAGTTAATAGAGATTAAGATGAAGCATTTGGTTTTGACATTGACATGGATGTTGTGGCTGAGCCTATGTGACAGATGCTTGTCTCAGGTGCAGCCACGGCTTCCTCCGGGGCAACAGGTGCCATGCTTCTTCATTTTCGGTGACTCATTGGTTGACAATGGAAACAACAATGGAATCCTAACTCTTGCCAGGGCCAACTACAGGCCTTATGGCATAGACTTCCCAGGGGGTGCCACTGGCCGCTTCACCAATGGCAGAACTTATGTTGATGCCTTAGGTATAATTCTATACTAACTTCTTCCATATGCTTACTCCTGCCATCGGGATTTATTTTGTAGCTAACAAGTATAAAATAACAATAATATGCTGAGTTTTTATTATACCATGTTATTTGCACTACTTGATGTAGTTTCGTTTGAAGTTTCATATAGCAGTCAACAATAGGATCCTGAATGTACATCGCTGTTTACTTAAGACTACAATGTTGGCAATTGCAGCTCAGCTTCTGGGCTTCCCAACATATATTCCTCCTTACACAAGAGCAAGAGGTCTGCAACTTTTAAGAGGAGCTAACTATGCATCTGGAGCAGCAGGCCTTAGAGATGAAACAGGCAGTAACCTTGTATGCAATGGCATATGTTAAAGATTCTTTTGAGAAAGCACATATTATTGTACATAACTCTCTGTGAGGCAATGTAATTCTTGGGCCACCTCCTTCTGATTTTCTTATGTAAAATGCTTGCAGGGTGCTCATACTTCAATGAATGACCAAGTGGCTAACTTTGGCAACACAGTGCAGGAGTTGAGAAGGTTCTTCAGAGGAGACAATGACTCACTTAATAGCTACCTAAGCAAATGTCTATTCTTTTCAGGGATGGGAAGCAACGATTACCTGAATAACTACTTTATGCCAGATTTTTATTCAACTAGCACAGATTTTACTGTTAAAGCTTTTGCATCTGCCCTTCTTCAAGATTACTCTCGCCAGCTATCTGTATGTTATATACATCTAATCCTAAATGACTCTACATATAGCTATTGCATTAGTATTCAGGGTCATGTCAACAATCATTTCATTCCTATGAACACAATGTTGCGACTAGATAAAATTGAGGATCTAAAGTGGTTCAAACCCAACCATGTTGACCAAATAGGATGACCTTTTGAAGTTCTATATGCACAAAATTATTTAGTGCTATATGGTTTCTCTCTGATTGTTGCTCTTATTAGACATTATTAATGATTGTTACTTAAAATTGTGCAGCAATTATATTCACTAGGAGCACGAAAAGTGATGGTTACAGCAGTTGGTCAAATTGGCTGCATACCATATCAACTAGCCCGTTTTCATGGTAACAACACCAGATGCAATGAAAAAATCAACAATGCCATCTTACTATTTAACTCTGGCCTTAAGAAAATGGTTCAGAACTTCAATGGAGGGCAGCTTCCAGGAGCTAAGTTTGTGTTTCTTGATTTTTATCAAAGCAGTTCAGATTTATCTTCAAATGGAACATCATTTGGTAATTCTCTTTTCTTTAGACATACCCTCTATTCATGACAAAGCACATGCTCTCAGAAGCTGATTTTGCAATCTAAATATATTGTTTCACACAGGATTTGATGTGATAGACAAGGGTTGCTGTGGAGTTGGCAGGAACAATGGACAAATTACTTGCCTTCCTCTGCAACAACCATGTGAAAATCGTCAGAAGTACTTGTTCTGGGATGCTTTCCACCCCACTGAGGTGGCCAATATTTTACTAGCGAAGGCATCATACAGTTCACAATCATACACTTATCCCATTAATATTCAACAATTGGCAATGCAGTAAAAGTTTAGTTTGCATTTTATATTGTCTGTTTGCGTGGTATTTATGCATTGCATGCACTTGGTCATAGCGTTCATGATCTTGTGCAGTAAGAATGTGTTCTTGGTGCTTAAACCATTTGATTTCTTTTGTACACTTGTGATGCCATTGTGTAGGAATAATCATACAATAAGGATGCTTCAGTCTAACCATATGTGAATCACCTCAGGCTGCCTTGATTTATTTTATTTTGCTCATTTTCTTTCTTCTCTTCCTTCTCCAGTATTTAATTTGTGTCACTTGTGATTCATAAATTTATTATTGCAGCAGTGGAAAATAGTAGCTGATATGATCAATTAGACTATTGTAAAATCAGCCAAATAACAAAGTAATATAAAACCAGAAACAAAGAAGAACAGAACATGATAGAGAGTTTAGTAGCAAAAAACAAAGGAAGAAAACTCAGTTGTGCATTGATACCATAAAGGTTTTCTTTTTTAATACAAAAAGAGATATGCAAATCTCCACAAAATAAGGACTACCACTCCTTTCTACCTAATCTTTTGACCATACAACCTACTCTTCCCTAAAATAGGGATTTTCACCAAACCAAAAAGCAATCAGAAATTACTTAAAGTATTTTAGAAAAAACTCAATTTCTAACACTCCTCCTTAAGATTTTTCTTGAATACTCCAAGCTTTGATCTTAGAAATTCAAACTTGTTCTTGAAAAATATTTTGGTCATAATATCAGCAATCTGATTATCTGAACTACATGATTCTTTGTAATTGCAATGGCTGACTTGTTATCAACCCATATGACAGTAGCTTCATCATTCAGTTCCCTCAAATCATGCAAAATTTTTCTAAGCCAAATGGCTTGATTTGCAGTCATTGTGGCTGAAATATATTTAGTGGATTGAGCCACCACATCTTGTTTCTTTAAATTCCAAGAGAAAACTCCACTACCAAATGAAAAAACATAAGCTGATGTACTTTTAGCATCATCTAAACTTCCTGCCCAGTCACTGTCTGCATATCCTTGAACACTTTCATCCTTTGAAAAACATAGACCATAATCAGTTGTCCCTCTTATATATCTCAATACTCGTTTTGTTGCACGGTAATGAGCTAGACTAGGAGAATGCATAAATCTGGACAGCAAACTTGCAGCAAACATTAAGTTTGGTCTAGTGGCTGTAAGATACAGTAAACTTCCAATTAAGCTTCTATAAGTAGTAGTATCTACTTTGCTGCAAGCATCATCAAGTGACAACTTTTCATTTACAACAAGGGGTGTGTTTACAGGTTTACAATTCTGCATAGAAAACTTCTTCAATATTTCTAAAGCATATTTTCTCTGTGTAATGAAGATTTCAACATTACATTGGTGAATCTCTATTCCAAGAAAATAATTCATTTCTCCCAAGTCAGTCATTTCAAATTCAGTTTCCATGTCATGCTTAAAGCTGCTCAAGGAATCTGAATTTTTGCCAATAACTAGCAAATCATCAACATACAAAGTAGCTTCATTTTCACTCTGTTTAAACCCCTTATGCAGTAGATAACTATCAATTCTGCTATACCAGGGCCTAGGAGCCTGCTTTAATCCATAAATAGCCTTTTGAAGTTTGTAAACTTTGTTTTCACTCCCTAGAATAATAAAGCCTTTAGTTTGTTCAACAAAGATATCCTCTTCAAGTAAACCATTTAAAAAGGCTGATTTCACATCAAAGTGATAAATTTTCCAACCCATTTTTGCTGCCAATGCAACTAGCAACCTGATTGTATCATGTCTTGCCACCGGAGCAAATGTATCTGAGAAATCAACATCATGTTGTTGATGATAGCCTTTAACAACTAGTCTAGCCATTAGTTCGTTTATAAAACCACCAGGATTCAATTTGGTTCTATAAACCCACTTAAGACCAATAACTTTGTGTTTTGTAGGTTGGTCTACAAGTTGCCAAGTTTCGTTTTTTTTAATCATATTCATCTCCTCCTGCATAACACATCTCCACCCATTTATTTCAGCTCCTTCATCATATTTTTTAGGTTCTAGTGCAGCAATGTTACACCTTTCATAAATTTCAGCAAGGGTTTTGAATCAATTTTCAAAATGCAAAGCATAATTCTTTTCAAGCATTTGCCCCACACTTAAAAGATTTTGAATCAACTCAAGCATAAATAAAACATCTGAAATATATTTTGTATCTGTAGGAGTTTCAACAACAACCACTCCTTTTCCTTTGACATCAACATTTTCTCCATTGCCAATAGTGACTTTGGACAAGTAGGATTGATCAAGTTCCTTAAAAAAACTAGCATCATGAGTCATATGATTAGTACACCCGCTATCTATGAGCCAAACTTCTTTGCTGCTACTTGCAGAATAACAAGAAGCAATAAACAACTGCTCCTCACTCTGTTCTTGGTACTCAACAACTTGAGCTTGTTGTCCTTGCTACTTTGCCTTGTTTTTGCAAACTTTTTCTACATGACCAAGCTGGTTACAGGCCCTACACTTGACTCCAGGCCTAAACCAACAGTAGTTTTCTGTATAGTTTGTCTTTTTACAGTGAGGACAAGGTGGAAACTTCTCCTTTCTACCTCCTCTTTTGTTGCCGTCATCTTCTTTTTTTTTCTTTGCCTTTCTTCCCACTAAAAGGCTTTTTTTCATAGCTACTTCTACCTTGAGGTTTGCCTTTGGTGTTGACCACAAAAGCACGTTCAACATTTTCCTCCATTCTTAGATATCTCCTCTGCTCAGTAGCTACTAAAGCATTAACCAGTTCTGCAACTGAAATTTGAGAAAAATCTTTATTCTCTTCAAGAGAGGAGATTTTGTACTCAAACTAATATTTTTGAAGTCACACCAATATTTTTTCCACAACTCTTTGATCTTTAAGCTCTTCACCTAGCAATCTAATCTGAGTAACAACTTTAGAAAGTCTGTTAGATAACTCCTTCATTGTTTCAGACTCCTTCATTTTGATTGCTTTAAACTCTCTTCTCAGATTCAACACCTTCATGATGTTCTTTCGCTGCCTTGGAACTCCTCCTTTAACTTTTCCCAAGCGTCTTTTGCTGTCTTAAGATTCAATATCTTGATAAAAACATCATCGTGCACTGCTGCATGTATGATGGCAAGTACCCTGTCATCCTTTACCACTTCTTTATTATGAAGTCGTATTTGAGCCACAGCTGGGTCATTGGATAAAGGGGCTGGATTACTTCCATTTTCTACCACATTCCACAAAGTTTGTGCTCTCAAATAAGTTCTCATTTTCGCAGCCCCCAAATCATAATTTTCTCCCACAAAAACTGGAGGTGGAGGTAAAAAAACTGCTTCTAGATGCCATTCTCTGTTATTGGTATTTTTTTCTGGTTTGTATATAACTTTCTAACTGATTTTCACTCCCTCACATACCCTTAAAATCAATGAGATCTTGATACCATGCTGTAAAATCAGCAGAGTGGTATAAAACCATAAACAAAGAAAAACAGAGCTGATACAAAGTTCAGCAGTAAAAAACAAAGGGAGGAAACACAGTCGTGCAGTGATACCATAAAGGTTTTCTTTTTTAATACAAAAAGATTTGTGCATTGATACCATAAAAGTTTTTTTTTTTAATACAAAAAGAGATATGTAATCTCCACAAAATAAGGACTAACACTCCTTTCTACCTAATCTTTTGACCATACAACCTACTCTTCCATAAAATAGGGATTCTCACCAAACCAAAAAGCAATAAGATGTTACTTAAAGTATTTTAAAAAAAACTCAATTTCTAACATAGACTAATGTTTAGCCAAAAAATACAGTGTGGTTTAAACCAAAATATATGTTTGGTTGAAAAGGATTTTTATAGAGTAGAAGATGAAGGAGTAGAATTGTGCACCATGTCTTTAGAATGTGGATAAACACTTTTTTAGGGTTAATTAACTATCAGAACCAATGACAGATTCAGATTTATGTAGGCCAGACTCAGACTTTATTCTGTACCAAAAAGCCACATTCAGGTTTACCAAAAAGCCACATTATGTACCGAGAATCTTTGATAGCATATGGATAGGAAAATTCAACTCCATTATGCAAGAAGAAATCTCTTATTTATAGATACCGTTTGTTGAATTAAGGTCGTATTATGAAAAGTCACATTCTTTCAAGTGGTGTGTATTAAATGAAAATTAAAAAAAACAAAAAACAAAAAAACAAAAACACTTGGTGTTGTATAAGAAGAGTCATTTTAATTTCTAAATTCTTCTTTAATTTAAAGGAATAGTACAACTCCTTAACAAGAAAGAATACAACTCTTCATATTTTAAAAATTTCTATGGCAGCTGCTGTTTATTTTAAAGCACGTTTACTACTAAAATTGTAAAAGATAACAATGGAAAGCCCATACATTCTTATTGGGAGCTACTTTGAACTCTGTTCCAGTGATCATCAAGAATATATAAATCTGGTCAAAATGTCTAAAGAAAAGGGCAACATTCAAACACCATATTATAATAAAAATAGACAAAAAGAGAATGTAAGCACTAATTCATATGACAGTCGTAATTGTAAATGTAGGTAGCAGTAATTATGACTATTATATTGATTCCCTATACTAAATATGTTGTTCCACATACTTCTAGCAATTATAAATGTGAATTTGATCATTGGAGCTCTAAGTGACAGTGATTCCCTCTAAAAAGGGTCAATTCATAGCTCAGCAAGTTGCCTTATGTTTATAGGATAAACAAAATTGGGGTTTCCATTAAAAGCTATTCTTCCCATCAGAATGTTCACTGCTTCTGTTGGGTGGAATGCATCCCAGAAGACATACTGATTTCTGTTAGGGCATGGTGTTTGGAATGGAAGACATGTTATTTGACCTCTATTTCTTCCAATGCCACAGCACCCTCTATTTACAACACTAAACCCTACACATAAAGAAGGTAAACTATAAGTCTCATCATGATCAACATGTTGAAAATGTGAAAATGTTGGTTGCAAAGAGCTAAAACCATATACAAGAGTAAAAGAATGAACACTACTCAAATTTATTTGAGCTGCAGTGCAGTAGTATGTTTTGATTCATACATACCATAAGATCTAGCATTGAGAAGGATGTCCTGGAATATGCGGGAAGTGTCAGCGAATATGAATCTGGCACCAGGTAGATTAGCATTGAAATTGCCCAACATGGTCTTCACATTTTCATTGAAAGGTTGCACTAGCATGTTAACTTCTTCAGAGCAGCTTCCAGTCATGCTTTGAGCCAGTATGCTTGGAATACACCCCATTTGCCCCAGTCCAGCAATCACAAATTTCCTTGCTCCAAGATTGTAAAGCCTCTATAACACGTCACCATGACACATCCAATGAAAAATAATAATTGACAAAAACCAAGGACTTAATAGGTTGTTTTTCAAAAGGAGGTATATGAGAAACTGAGAAATCTTACTCTCAGCTGCTCGTCATATGTTTGAACCAGGAGATCAGCATACTGTTGTCCATTGTACTGATTTCTGGTGGGGTAATTAGGCATAAGGTAGTTGTTAAGGTAGTCATTGCTGCCCATTCCAACAAAGAATATGCATTGTGCAAGCTCTGTGGCCATATTGTCTGCTCCAAGATTCCCAGTTATTTGATTTAATGTATTCTCAAAATTCCTTATTTGCTGATCAAATGGTATGCGCCCAACCTGCTCGAACAGAATCCATTATGATTCACCGGCTATCTATTGTATTTTACTCAATGAGTTGGAAAGTGGAAATAGGAAAAACCAACTCAGTAATTGAGGTTTTGTTGTTTCTTTAGAATACTAAAAAGCAGCTGAATGCCATAATAAATAACCTAATAAATACAAAGACAATTAATAGTTACTTAATTAACGTAAGTTCTTCAAAAGAAAAAGAAAATTTGCTTCAAGTAATGGACAGGTTAGAATCTAAAATGATGAATGAATGAATGTTACACACAAAGTTTCTGCCAGTGGCATCAAGGATTCCAGCAGCAGCTGAAGCATAGTTTACTCCATGAAGCACTTGATTCCCTGAGGCTTCTGAGTATGCAGGAATCAAGGGAAGTCCAAGCAGTTCAGCTGCATTAATATGAACACATCAGTCTCAATTCTGAAACGATACATATTATTCAAATCATTAGGTAGTACGCAATTTCTTTTTGGTCGCTACAGCTTAGTGAGGAACACTTGTGTAGGTTCTGTCTACACAAATTAGGTCCTCAAGTTAGGTTGACTAACACTAAATTATTTATCATGAGACTCAAACAAAAGTTTCTTGTTATTTATATTAAGTATGAGGTGACAATGTGCTGTTGGTTGGTTTAATCTACCCAACTTGTGCAGGCAGAGTATGTCCACACAAGTATTTTTTCTGGTGCAAGGGGTGTGTAGCTAAAAATGTAGGAGCCCCCATCCATATCCTCTTTAATGCATCATTTACTGCAAGAAAATGCCATGGCAGTAGTTTATCTACCCTTTTTGCCACAAACATCAACCGCATATACGGAGTAGAATGGCCATTGAAGGAGAAAAGATAAATTTACAGTAAGCTATTACTTCAGATATTAATAACCTATAGCCAAGAGTAGGCCGTTAGGTGTATTGCAGTTAGTCAACTCATTGATGGTAGCTTTGGCGAGATTCCGATGTAAGAAATTCACGGCAAAGTTGATAAAATTGGAAGCATGTTCTCCAAAGACACTTTTGTACCAAACAGAAATATGTTAAAGAAATGAACAATTCGGCTGATTCACTTTATATTTCGAAATCTATCTGGACAATCAGTCATAAAGCGAGGAATCTGAATTTTTGTGACTAACTAGTCAATACATCTACTACTACTAGAAGAATGTTACGTTATAATATTCCTTATAGCAAGCTATGTCACATTCTTGAAGCTTTTGCTTTTAATTATTGTATTAAATAACATTGGCGATTCATGTAGCCGCACTCACCTATTTACATAATTAATATTCACGTAACGACTTCACCAAGTAAGATATGGTTTAGTATGATTTATGAAGTGGATCTCAGCTAATGAGATAACGCTTTGTTGTTGTTTTAAGGCATGTGGTATGTGTCAAGTGGTCAAAATGTTGCTTCCAAAATATACCTTTTTGACTCTCAACGAAGCAATGCTTGCAAAAACAATCTACGCCAGAGAAAGGGTGCAACAAATTGTTAATAGTGAGTAGTTTTATACTGTTATTATTAAAATTTGCTCATCCATTTTGACTCAAACAAATTATGTCCATAATCTAGGTTGGCTTTTGTCATGTGACAAGCACTAGGAAAAAGAAAAAGACTTGATAAAGGGAGAGAGGGTATACCTATCTCATCAACCATGGTGTAGCCATTTGAGAAGCGACCAGTAGGGCCTCCATTGAAGTCGATGCCATAAGGGTAATAGTTGGCCTTAGCAAAGGAAGGAAGGTTGTTGTTGTTGCCATTGTCAATGAGAGAGTCACCAAAGATGAACATGGCAGGCACCATTTCTCTCCCACTCCCATTTTGGCCTCTTACTGCACCACCACTCAGCAACAAGAAAAGCACCAAGAAGGGAGACAGTCCAAACTTAGCCATAAACGCGTGAGAGACTGAAGAGAAGCACATGGAGCAAAGAACTTAATGATTTCTTTTGTAAGAATGAACAGAAAAAGAGTTGGCATGGTTTTGAAAGAAGATGGAAGAGGATTTTAATACACAAGATGGTATATGGCGGTGGTTGAAATGCAATCAATACATTCACCTGCTCTCTACCATGCAGTAATTATACATACATACTGAAGCACCCAACATTGGTGCAGGCCTTTCAAATGCTCAACTGGTACCATTTATTTACTACGTACTTTCATGAATTTTTCCACACACATTCAAGCACCCTCTCTCACTATTTTTCCGTGACCGTGTTTGTGGGGACTTGAGGATGATGTATATGTAAGAACTTCCTTACCATTGCTTGCCATGTGTACTGCATGTTGCAGAAGAGAAAGTCAAACGCGTTATTACTTCGTTGTCAGTAAAATAATACTTTATGTACTATTTTTTTAAAATGGAATGATTGAGATTTGCATGTATCATCGTGTAAGAAAGTATTTACCTACTGTTACATACACAGCTTGAATTCAGATAAAATTGTAAACTTAGTAATTTAAGATAAATCCAAGTCCATAACCACTTGTGTACTAGCAATTTCCAGTTTTTTCTTTCTTAAACAAAGTTATATAGGACCAAATGAAAGAAGAAATTTACCGAATATGGTCAAGTCCATGGATGGCTCACACCCTTGCTCTGTGATAAACTTTTAAGTAAAAGATAAAATTAATAATTGGTTGAAGAATATTTCCTTGGTGTTAGAACGTTTTGACCCGTTAGATCATTTTTGAATGTTTAGCAAGTGATATCATTGAGTACCATTATTGTAGCGTTTTAGATTCTAGAGAGCTATTGTTTTAGTTTCTAGAGAGTTTTTGGGAGTGTTTAAAGAAATCCTCGTTTTAGTATGACAAATAATCAATAAAAGTCACTTTCTCGAATATTATTTATTATTAAATTGGTATTTAGAGTTAGGGTTCCTAAGAAAGTTATGTTGGTATTTTTAAGGGTTTTGTGTATATGTATTTCGATATATCATATGAGTATATTTTTATTCGTGTACTCTATGTATATATAGAGTAAAAATATTACAAAATATTAAATATTTATAATATCTCAATCATAACTGCCTAAATCAAAATAATAACCTAATAACTTTTTACCTTCTCTCTTAAAAGATAATAAAATCTCTTAATACCTAATTTAAATAAAAGATAATAAAGTAATATTATCAACATTCCTCCTTACTTTAATATCTATTTATTTGAATTTAATATTTTTTCTTTTATGTTGTTTATAATTTTTTCTCCTCTTTTGTTTGTACTTCTTGTCATCTTCTTTTTTTGTATGAGATTACATCTTCATTCTTCACTTTCTTCATCAACATATTTCTTCCTTTATATCAACTTTATCTCCTTTGTTTCTTTCAAACTTCATGGTAGTACGGTTGACTCTTTGATGGACATTGACAACAGTTTCTTCATCTACATCTTTATTTTCCTCCTTAACATCAAATTCCTTCAAGAAATCTTCTTCATGCTTTTTCTTTGACTTTTCTTTTATATCTTCGTTTGTAATCAACTCTTCTTTCATCAAATCTAAAGTGAAACTTTGTCCTTTCATGTGAACTTTGAATATTTCCAAGTTATTTGTATCTTTAATCACACAAAGTTTGTGTTCAAAAGACACCTTATAACTTTTCTCCAATAATTGAGCAACACTTAACAAATTATTGTAGACCCCAAATCTTGTCCGGCCTCCAAATAAAGACCAGAAGACCTCCTATTTGAAGATGGACGAAGCCTAACAAGCCATTAGGAGAGACTATTAGGCCCCATACTAGGATAGGAGGGAGTTTCTGTACGAAAAATAAGTTTTCTCGCTCTGGTGGGACGAGACCGCCGTCTGGATTTCCCAGACCGCCGTCTCGCTTGACGAGACGGCGGTCTCGCCACCTGCGAAGGGCGAGACGGCGGTCTCATTTTGCGAGACGGCGGTCTCGACCCTGTCAGACGAGAACGGCGATCTCGCCACCTGACAGCACGAAAACCTATAAATAGGGGTCCTCCCCCCCTCATTTGAACACCACCTCAAGCTTTAGCTCTCCCTTCTCTCTAAAAACTTCTCTCTAGAATCCCTCCGACGCATTTCCGGAGTTTCTGAGTGTCTTTGAGAGCGTTTTTCGGCGTCTAGAAGAGTTTCTGATGTCTTGTAGAATGAAGGGCTGCCAAAAAGCACCCTCTTTTAAAGAGAAATTAAAAGAAAAGCTTGCTTCGGAGGTTTAAACTCTTTCTCTCCCCTTTTATCGCTTTAAATTTAAATTACGCAAATAGATTAGGGCCATGTAGTCATACTTTTAAATTCCGCACAATAAAAAGGGCAAAAGCGTATTTTTTCAGTTTATTTATTAAGAAAAAAAGCCGGCCTATCATAGGGAACCCGAAAGGGGCGTAGTAAAGGAACTAATACTTCTTTTACCACGTAACTAACTCCCTTACCCAACTCTGGTTCTAATGACCAAAGTTGGTTTTCGAAAACCAACGCCTTTTAAAAACCTTTTCCGATATTTCCGGTAAAAACATCGGTGGCGACTCCTTAGAACCCAAAATAAATAAGTCATTGGGTTAGCCCAGTTATCGGACAACCCAAGGACACCTTTCGAAAACCTCGCCCCTGGGTTAACCCGATTATCGGACAACCTAAAGAAGTTGTAACCACCTATGAAAATGCGAAAAACAAGAGGGTCGAAAAACCATCGCGTCGCTCCGACCGCCATCTTTTTGACGGGGGCGACAGATGGCGACTCCACTGGGGAAGCCTCGAGAGTTGATCCCATTTAGTGATGGGCCAGCTTAAAATAATAAATAAACCAAGAAAATAACACTTTTGCCTTAACTTACATTATAACATGTTTTATTGCTTGGCTTTAAATAACTGTTGTTTGTTTATACTTCCGCAATTGTTTGAAATAAAAACTGTACACAATCCCTTGCACACAACAGTTCCCTCTATACCCGGGGGCAAGTGAGATAACCATAGGGAGTGGGTGGCAGGTACGGTTCGCTGTAGTGAGGGCCTTGAGCCCACCAGTGTGATCGGAAACCACCACTCAAGGTGATAACCTTCCTCTTTTGGCAACAAGACTGACTACGGCCTTAGTGTTAAGCATAGTCGGACGGCTGGAGAGTGGGGACCCTATAATGGGGGCACCTTAGGGGCCTTAGCCTGGTGAGAACAGTTAGAACCAACCCTCGCCAATGCACTTTTCTGCAGGAAAACCCTACCTCGTGATAAAAAAACGAATTCTCGCCGGTTCGGGGATGATCGAATTGTGTGTGCATATGTTTGTTGCATTTGTCTGTTGCATAGCATAAACAAACAACAAAACAAAAACCAAAGTATCTTCACAAATAAACACCCTTATCTCGGACAGTCTGCCTTTCAGCTAGCCTGGTTTCAGGTTCTTTGTAAGCTAAGTAGCCACGCAGTTCCGACAGAAGAGATAAAGGACGTTAAGTATTCTTTCGCATAAAGCCACATTTTATCTCGGACAGTCTGCCTTTTAGCTAGCCTGGTTTCAGGTTCTTTGTAAGCTAAGTAGCCACGCAGTTCCGACAGAAGAGATAAAAGGCTATAAAATAGACAAATAAACACCAAATAAAAATCAAAACATAAAAAAAAAAAATACCAGAAAATAAATCAACTTCTGACAAAGTCAAAATCATTCATACTACATCATACCATGAGTAAAGGAAAACCAAGAGAGAAAATAAAGAGTGAGAGCGCATACAGCATCATTCAAACAAAATCTCTCATGCATAAACATACCCATGTTAGTTTAAGCACTCAACATGCATTAATAAACCTTTTTCGGGCATTCTAGAAAGTGGTTGGTCCTCTCCCCACTCGCACTCGTGCACAAAAAGCAAAAGCGATGGAAAATCTAGAAGAACAGAACCGGAAGCTCACTGCGGAAGTCAATACCCTCCGCGAGCAAGTGGCCTAACTAATGGAGGTCGTACGCCAAGGTCAGAGCAAGGGCGAAGACCAAGCTGAACATATCCCTCCCCATGAGGAAGAGGAGGAGGAATACTTTTTTGACGGGAAGGATGCCAAGACTGCACGCATCCTTACCCCAGAAGTATCTAAACAACAACTCTCTGCCCTGGAGGAGAGGCTGAAGGTGGTCGAAGGGCATAACTTCGACGTCAAGGAGGTGGCGGACAAGTGCCTCGTGAAGAACATTCGTTTCCCTCCCAAATTTAAAATCCCGGACTTCCCCAAATACGCCGGGATGACTTGCCCTAAGAACCACGCTGAAAACGATAAACTCCTGATCCACTGCTTCTAGGAGAGTTTGGCAGACACAGCACTTAACTGGTACATGCAGTTAGAGAGAGGGCAGGTCCAGAACTGGAAACAGCTAGCTGACGCTTTTCTCTGTCATTACCGATACAATATCGATCTGACCCCCGACAGGTCAGATCTCAGGACCCTGAGCAAAAGGGACGACGAATCCTTCAAAGCGTACGCCCAAAGGTGGAGGGAAATGGCCGCCCAAATCGAGCCTCCTTTGACGGACAAATAAACAGTGGCTATGTTCATAGACTCACTGACCGGAGCGTACTATGATAAGGCGATAGCCAGTACCTCCAATCTCTTCTCGGACATAGTCACTGTAGGAGAAAGAGTGGAGCAAGGGCTGAGGAGTGGAAAAATAGCGCGACCCTCCCCTTCCAGCACCTTATTCAAGAAGCCCTTCAAAAAGAAGGAGGAGGCCGTGCACGCCATTAATTTCGTAACCCCTTCCTCTACCCCTCAGACAGAGCGACAACCACGAAGAAAGGAGAGGAAGTTCACTCCTATCCCCACCTCATATGCAAAATTGCTGCCCCAGCTGTTGGAGGCTAACCTCCTGGCGCGCGTCCCTCCCAAGAAGCAGCTGGAGTCTCCCTATCCCGAGTGGTACAAGCCCAATGAAAAATGTAACTACCACTCGGATGCATCAGGGCACTCAA